CGGGCCGTAGTTAAAAAAAATCAAATTAACTTATATATATATGTCGCGTTTTAAACCGTTAAAGAATTTTTTTTTGATATTATAAGTATCATTAATGATTACGTAAGATACAATGTTGCGCTAAAATCACTAATAAAAATTGAAATGTGGTAAACATTTCAATATTTTAACGGTTTAATGCGACATATATTACTAGTACACATGTATATAAAACGGTTTAAAACACGAAATAATGTTTAGCTTACTTTTTTATTTTAACTACAATCGACGTTATGATGTTCCGCCGTGGCCAAGACATGATAAAAGTCGCCGCACTTAAAATAAATTATAAATATTTAAGTTAACTTATTTACTTCGAGTTTTAATCCGTTAACTGTGTTTTATATAGATGTATATTATTCGTGTAAAGTACAGACAACACTGAATGGAAATATTGTTAATTCATATCCGAGCTTATGTACAGTTAAAGAGATATAGATTTAAAAAAATTGTGGTTCGGACCCGTTTAAAGACATGTATTGGAAAAAAAATGTATTGGAGCCTCGCTACTTTTAAAACCTTTTTCCATCTAAAGTTGTATCTAACCATTATTGTAAAATAGGTCTTTGGTTACCGATACATAAAATTCACAAAGTGGTTAGTTAAAAAGAAAAGTTAAAATCTCTGACAGAATTGGAAAAAGAAAACAGAATTACTGGGGGTAATCCACGAAAACTTTCTCCTTTGTTTTCGTGAGTTCTGACTTCGGCTAAGCTTGCGTTATAATGCGTTCATTTCAAACAAGCTGTGTCACTGACTTCGTCCGCGTGGAATAGTTATTTTGGGCGTAAAAATTTCTGGTTTAAAACTTCTTTCTTATCCTTATAAATTATCATATACATACTGTCTATAGTTTACGTGAGTAGTACACATTTTAAAAAAACACTTTAACGGTTTAAAACGCGATATATTAGTTAAACTTATTTGAAAATAATTTTTAACGAGTCTCCCCGTGACCACGGCTGCTGCAAAGCATCCGAAACGTCGGGCCGAAGTTAAAAATCATTTTCAAATAAGTTTAACTAATATATCGCGTTTTAAACCGTTAAAGTGTTTTATTTAAATTATCATATACATGTTTTCGTTCTTGCAAGTTAATCTTAAAAGATAAATATGCTGGTACAGTGTTCCCGAGATTTTTTGAAACATGTAAAGAGGAATCATTCTTTCATACGTATTTTTTGGATGTCTTGACCCACGGTCTTGTTGCCACGTAGCGTACGCAACAGTAACTCACAAAGATGATTAGTTTTCTTCCCGTTTCTCATTTTCCGCTGTTTCTCCGCTTCTATAAGTCCGCATCGCAATCTTTTAGCTTATAGCCTTCCTCGTTATTTGCTCGAAACAACACAAAAATATATTTTTAATTCGCACCAGTAGTTCCTGCGATTAGCGCGTTCAAACAAACTTGTCAGCTTTATTAAATAAAACACTTTAACGGTTTAAAACGCGATATATATTAGTTAAACTTACAATCGTGGTCACGGGGAGACTAATGATGGAGGTTGTTTCTGACGTCAAAGTAAAACCACGAAAATATTCAGTGTCAAAGTTATCTAACACAATATTCCCACGGGTCGAAAACGTGCTCGACATAAACGACCAATTGGTTTTCTATTGGCGCATTGTCCTATGTATCAATCCTCCGTCCACAAATATTATGAATACATTTTCCCTCGTCTCCTACTTTACTGTGACAGATATCGTACAAATAAATTATGCTTAAGTTTATTCGGCCTGATCGTTATTTGTTTTACCCGCGTTGTGTTTTGTTGTTATCAAAACGAGTATCACAGACAGCTAATATCTACCACTTCTATCTTACACTCCTACCTAGTTGTATACCTTTTGTTATTATCACTTACTCTTATCACTTACATAAGTCTTTTTCTTTTCTCCTATACTTCAGGTTGTCTGGAAGAGATCGCTGCTTAGCGATAAGGCTACATTTTAAGTTAGTACGTAAGACTTTTCCTTAAATAAATATCTATAAGTTTTATTGCTGAAGAGTTTGTTTGTTTACACTTACTAAGCTCTGGAACTTCTAATTCGAATTGTATAATTCTTTAATTTTACAACAATGCGTAATTTCTGCTCTGAATTTTTTGACATAATAGCAATAATTAGATGATGAAGATGGGTAGGACTCGGTAGCTCAATTGGTAGAGAAACAGCACGGAACGCTGAAGATGCCGGTTCAAGTCCTCGCCGAATCGATTTTTTTTTTCAATTCATTTTCGATCTTTAAATGATGGCAATATGTATATAAATTAAAAATCGATTTTAGATTGAAAAAGAAATACGATACGGGCAGGACTCGAATCTAGGTCTCCTAAATGACCTAAATATATCGACGCCATCTATCTTTAAAGTATTTATTTTTATGGTAATCAAAATTGGTCGAAATTTATGCATTATTACCAAGCATTTGTTAGACTTGTTATAATATAATAAGAGCAAATATATATGATGCCCAAATAAACAATTCCACGCAGACGGAGGTGCGGGCAGAGCTAGCACATTCAAAACTAACTACTAAAGTACATTAAAACCTCTTTTGAAAACTGTTTAGAGATGATTTTTGACATATTGCGTCTCTAGTTACACAGTGCATACTGCCAGTCTACAGGTATGTTATTTACAATTAAATCAAAAATATTTTCGTAGTTCCTTCGTCAATGCGTAACAATTACTGCTATGTTGCGTAATTTTCTCGCCGCTTACGCAATAATAAAACGTCAGAGGTTGCTAAATTATGATAAAAGTGTGTTAAAACCCCTTTTACCCCTCGTGGGGCTTGGGGCGTACACATTTATGTGTCCGTTTCACTGATTCGTTCTTTTAACGATCAAAATCATGATAGATTCTGTGCCCTGCCCGAAACTATTCTTTTCGTTTCCCTGGGATCCGAACCTAGGACATCTCGCGCTTAACGCAATCCTAGGCAGTACGTTTAACCATTTAGCTTCTGAGGCGGTTGCTACAGAAAATTGTGATAACGCCTGTACATAAAAATAGGCACAAATGTTCGGCCCATGCCCCACGTTGGGTATACGGGCTTTCTGTTCATGATATCGACCGGCTTGTTAGTGTTATGGTACGGCTTATAAATAGGTCGCGGGGTCGATCCCCACCGGGTCCATTTTTCAAATCGATTTATAATGTTGGACTTAGTCTGGAAATCTGGATATTAATGGGTGGTAGGAATATCGGAATTCCGTCCGCGTCACGACCGACGAACTACCGTCCATAGATGAAAAATCCGTGAAGTTTAATTACGTATCAGTCTGTGGATTACCGAATTTTCAAAGCCAAAACAGGTTGACAGTAGATATATTAGACAGTAGATAGATATATTATATATCTTCTTTAGATGTTATAGGTCACCTACCATCAAAAAAAAAATATTCCAATCGGATCACGTTCCTATGGGCTCTAGTGAAGTAACTCATACGATTTCGTGAAACAATTGATCAAATTATCTTCCATAGCTTATGTTCTCGACCTGTGAACCGCCGCTGGACCCATCCTCGTGGGACGAGCGCGGATTATTGCGGATTTTCAATACATATTACATTGCTTTCCTACCTACAGATCTGTACATAAATATATATCTCCCGTGAGATTGACGGTAGTCAATAAATATTCCATTGCAGATAATTACTGAGTGTTAAAAAATATATAAAGAACCAAAAAAAAAACAATTTTTCGTGACACAGAAGTCTGTTTACGCGAATAGTACAAATTTTAATTAGACACTTTAACGGATTAAAACGCGATATATATTAGTTAAACTTATTTTTACAAATTATTTTAACAACGGCCTGACGTTTCGGGTGCTTTGCTGGAGCCGTGGTCACGGGGAGACTGTCTTAATCTCAGAGCACCGTTTTAAACCATTAAAGTTTTATTTAAGTATATTAGATAATTTTTAAATACGGTTTAAATCACGATATATTCCTTGAAATTATTTATATGAAACAAGTTTAACTAATATAATCGGGTTTTAAACCGTTAGTGTTTTATTTAAATGTGTACTACTCGCGTAAACTACAGACAGTATTTAATTTATTTTTATATAAAATAAATAAATAATCAGTTCTTTAAAACATGGACCATAACTTACAATGAGATACTTCTAAATAACTATTAATAAAATAGATAGTTAAAAGCTTACAATGTAAAGAATGAAAATTGTACACGTTTACAATTTTAAATATTGTGCTAAAAGTCATCCGACTCAGCTTGTGTTCAGCATGGCTAAGCGCTGATTTTCAGTCTGTTATACAGATAATGAGTACAGCAATATTTTTAATTATGACACAACGTTTTTAACAGTTAAAAGTGTTTTATCAAAAATTTATTACCCGCAAATATAGACTATATAGGTATTTAAATGCCAAAAATGCCAGTTTGAAACGTAAATCAATTGTGGTGTTCGAGGAAATCCTTATAATATTAATGTAAATAAAAATGATGAAATATTAAACTTACCTCAATAATACATATTTTTAATATCTCCTTTAATTGTGACACAAAATTGTATACATTCACGCGTAATAAACGAACTTAGTAGAAATAGATTCACAAAGAAAATCCTTTTTATAGAACTAGACGCGTAAACTTTAAGAAGAGAGAGATTTAAATATTTTTCAATTCAAGAGCCCCTTTCAAATTGAATCTTCTCATTTTGATTGAATCACTGTTCCGTATCTACTTATCTGATTAGACTAAGACGCGTTGATTGCTTTACGAGTCATTCTTTCAAACATCCTCAAGAAAGAAAAACAACATTCGTGCAATATTTTACGATAATAAATGTGATAGTCTGGCTGTTCGGTAGTTTGATCTTCAAACATGAGGAAGAACGTAACGTCTTTCAAGTAGAGGATGAGGTATATCAAGGCCTATATGCAGATTACGTAAACAATAGTCCCAACATCGACAACAGTTGCCAACCGATGGGGTGTTGGGATGGTGATGATCGTAAGTACGGAATTCATTACAAGACTATTTAATTGCGTAACACGTACATTCTTTACGATCATATGCTACATTAAATAAATCACGTTTACCGGTTTAAAACTTTTTTACTTAAGGCTCGACATTTCGTGAGCTTTTCATTGTTGTGATCATGGAGATTTATGATATTTTAGTGAGTGAGTTATGTATTTATGGATAAACCATTTATTGAGGAGGCTTTAGGCTATAATACATCAGGATGCGACCAATACCAGCGTAGTAACAGGGGGAAATGTGAAAAAGACGTAGGAAATTATCCGTTTAGTCCGAGTTTAGTTGCGTGCGCAGCGAAAACTGTTGAAGATTATTAAAAAAATATGTTCTATCGAATATTCTTCTTTAAATAATAAAAAATAAGTCCGCGACAGTATATATCAACTTTTTAACTTTCAAGAACAGATTTTGTGGTAATCAAATTTCGTCAAATACTATGGCTAAAGAACGTTTGACACATCAGTTAGTGTACGATATAATTAATGATTGCCTGCAAGGTTACCTAACAATACATACATCGTATATATTTATCTGTATTGTTAGGTACAATCGTAAAACATTCGCTATAAACTATCAAATAACCTGAAGCCACAGAGCAAAGCTACTTTAAAATTAGTTCACAGACTACTTCGTTCTGATTACCTTCAACTGCCAATATTTTACTTCTTGAAAGGTTTTCCTTTAAAAGCTTCATGTTCTACAATTTAATTATTACCCTTTAGTAGAGCAATGTGGGGCGAATTATTGCGTGATCGGTGTTATAACATGTTGTATTAGTTTAGATGGAATTTAAGTTGCTTTTAGATAGATTTTAACATAGGCTAATTTTAGATTTTTTGATGCTAGAGAAGGAAAGGCAAGCATGGTATTCAGTTGATGGTAGGTGAAACGGCCCAGTTATTTCTTATTTCTACATGCAAAGGTTGCCTGGAAGAAATCGCCATGGGCGATAAGGCCGCCTTTGCACAAACATGTTTTATTTTGTATATGTAATTCTATGTATCCATGTTCTTATGTGTATGTTTGTGCAATAAAGAGTTTATTATTTCCGAAACGCGATTAAATTTGACGTTTTTTATCTGTGGGTGGCCGTTCGTTATCCGGACAGAATATCAAATCATTATTTCATTTGATAGATTTCAAATCGTAAAATAACAAATAAATAACGTAATAAATAATAACACCGGTGGAACTCAAATCTGTGACCGCCATGTTAGTTAGCCGCTCTGATATGATGCTCTCAGTAAAGTCGATTTTTAAATGTAACGGCTTTACAAAAAATATGTTAATACTCGATGTTTTCTTATAATATATTTTCTTTGATGTTCTTATTTTTTTTATTTAATTATGTGTTAATGTAAACATCAGGTAACTCTTCTGTTCTCTTTTACTTTAAATGTCAAACTTAGGGCGTCACTGAAAAACGGCGTTGTCCTTACTGCTAAGTACAACAAGAATTTAGCGGTTTACACGACCCTAATAATTATTGTATATTTTTATTTTTATTTTATGTTGTAATTGTTATGTTTTGTGCATGTTACTTGGCAACACTATATCTATATATTTTTACAAGTCAAAAATTATTATGTTCATGAAACATCGCTAAATTTCCCCGTTAATACTACTTAGTCATCTGTTTAGTACAATCCTAACGAACGTAACGAGGAAAAATTTTAACCGCAGTTCCTAAACTTTCTCTCATCACCATGTTATTTTTGTCTCTTAATTTTTACGATTTGATTTTTTTTAACAACAATAAGTATTTGGATAGAAGACGCTATCAATTCTGAAGTAGTAAATTACTGTATTTAACTATGTATTTTTAAGACAGAGAAGCATAGTGAGATGTCCCAACAAGAACAAAATGTGTTGTCAACCTATGTTGGCTTTGGACATTTGGAATTATTATTGCATTTAATTAAATCACTTTGTTTATTTTTAAGACAGAGGAGGGCAGAGAAGCATAGTAAAATTTCCCAAGCAGATAACATTTAAACAAATGACAAAATATTGGTTTTAGATCTTTGGAATTTTATCTTTGATATTATTTTTAATTAAGGATTTCTTAAATTTAATTACTTTCACTATACTGTATTTGAAAGTACTCACCGTTATACGCTGACCAAGTTTTGAAATAAGTTACCACTATGAAACTCTAGCACTAAGTCACAGGAAAAGTTTCAGATGAAAGTTTTCTCCGGTTCCCCGATAAGTGTGGGATCCGTTAAGTTCTTCGCGAACGCGCCAAAATTATGTGGCGCTCGGTACGTGCTGCGTGCTTATATCTAGAGGAGAGCGAAGCGTCCGCGCATGCGCCTAGATCATTCATCATATACTCTCAATGACCGCCTCCGCATCGGTCATCGCTCGTCACTTTTTTCGCTATATGCATAAATTAACTATGGAAATTCACGTATAACCAGTGATTTCTTTTGACTTGTTCTAAGTGGTTTTGTCTGAGCACTGAATATTTCCAGTACAACCGTTCCACCTCTGACATTCATGCGTTTGCAAACATTGTCACTATAGAACCACGGCTGCTGCAAAGCATCCGAAATGTCGGGTAGTTGTTTAAAATAATTCTCAAATAAGTTTAATTAAAATATATCGCGTTTTACTCGTTAAAGTGTTTTAGTTAAATGTGTGCTACTCGCGTAAACTACAGACAGCATTTAAACAAAACAATGTCAAAAAAGTATTGTAGAAGGATGCGAAGTATATTCCAGCGAACATAATGCTTCATGTAAATCAGTTTTATATGGTTTAATACCCTTAAAGATTATTTTCAATGAAATTTCAGTATTAAAATCTCTGTTTAAATAAAACACTTTTTAACGATTTGAAACGATTAATTTATTAGTTATTCACAAAAATATATTAACTACAGCCCGACTATATATTTCTAAAACTACAAAATGCGACATATAGGAAATTTGTACGTAAATATATTCGTTTTTCATAGTGTTGGGTGGTAAAGTAGTCTTTTCATTTCATTATGTCTATAGTTTTAGTGTAGGTATTCACAGTGTTAAAATTTCCATGTTCTGTACATTTGTAAAATGTAGGACCCACGGGGAAATATAATCTTGTAAGGTAAGCCCATTAAATAAAGATAAAAAAAATACTAACAAAATTTAAATTTCAACTAACATAACTTAAACTTAAAATTTCGCGTTCAAAACTGTTAAAAGTGTCCTAAAGAATAACGTGTTGATGCAAAAGTTAATTTCCTCACGATAATTTCCTTACACATGACAAATATTTTCGTGCACGATCGAGTATCGAACTAACGAACTTACGAACCGTGGATCGGGGGCTAATATACTAAAAAACGGCTATTCAAAAGAAATATGTAAATGCTCACCCAGAAGTACATATACCGCGTAATTGAAACTTTCACTACAATTAAAACCAAATAGACATCTAAAGCCTAGTGTTGTAACCAATACATTGTTTTGAACTAGACAAAAATCGATAAGTTGACAATGAACTATCAAGGATTGTTACACAGCCAAATTATTTTCCATTGCAATCGCAGAGCTATTCAATAAAACACCTTTAACGGTTTAAAACATGAAACGTTAATTACCAAGTAAAAAAGTGAAATAATATTAAACGTAGTATGGTAGACATTTTATTACTAATATTAATCGCTATTTATTTATTTAAACATGTTTAACATTATTTAAACAAACAAATAAATAGATCCAGTAAAAAACAATTATATTATAATATGCTTAAAAAATAAAGGTTAATTTTATGACTAAGCTTAGAATTATTATACAACTCGCAACATACAAAGAGATAAGTTATAAAATTTCGGTTTTTCTATCCCCATATTGATTTTAACATGTCTTACAGGTTATAGGAAAATGTAAACCGTATTTGCATGTTAGATCTGCTGAGAATCAAATCAATGACCCGTCTAGTTTACGTACAGATAACTTAAGGAAACATAATAATTAGTCTAAGTGGTATCTATAAGATAAAATTCAACAGGTTAATAATTTTATCAGTACATTTAAACTTATATAGCACTTATGTCAAAACATAATATATTTCGTAAGATTAAAAAACGCCGTTTAATAGAATAATTCTATTCAAATAAAACACTAACGGTTTAAGACGCAATATATATTTGTTAAATTTATTTGAAAATTATTTTAATTACGGCTCGACGTTGTCTCCCCGTAACCACGGCTGCAAAGCATTCGGAATGTCAGGATGTTGTTAAAATAATTTTCAAACAAGTTTAACTAATATAGATCGCGTTTTAAATATGTACTACTCGCGTAAACTACAGACAGTAGAATTATCCTATATAAGGAACTATTTCAAACTCACTTCCTGTTGCTGAAAAGTTAAGTCTAGTTAACTACAGATGTGCCAACAACATCGCCTAATATCATAAAGTACAAGTTATATATGGTATTTTATCTCGAAATACTTGATGTCTCCGTAACACTATGGTTAAACGCATAGCATTCTGATAATCGCGAAAAGTACCTGGATTCAAATCAGGGGCAAAATAAACGTTCTCAATACGGTTTTTGAGAACCACACAATACTTATTAATAAATAAAATATGTCCAATAACCCAAGTTAGGACAATTGGGACAACACTAAATACTGTCCGTAGTTAATGCGATTAGTACACATTTAAATAAAACACTTTAACGGTTTAAAACGCAATATATTATAATATGTTAAACTTATTTTAATTGCGGCCCGATGTTTCGGATGTTTTGCAGCAGCCGTGGTCACGGGGAGACCGTTTAAGTGTTCTATTTTAATTACACCTATTATTTACCCATTACTACATTTCTATATAATTCTGGATTTTCCCAATCTCTCTATAAGTATATTCCAGTAAAGCACAACCTAAGCGATTTACATAAAACACGTTTAACGGTTTCAAACGCGAAATGTATCAGTAAATTTTTTTGACTACGACTCGGCATTTTAAACCGTTAAAAGAAAATATTAAAATGTGTACCTATCTATGTAAACTACGGACAATATTCCACCCAATCGACGAATTAAACAAACGAGTTATCCGTTTGACAATATAACGAATTTAAACTTGAAAATCTATTTTCGACATTATTTATGTTCTCGTGGTATAATTAAATTTCACTATTTCACCATCCTACAATTATCGTATTTACAATAAATGATTTAAGGAATATCTGCCTCTACAAATACGGAACGATCTCATCTAATTGCTTCTTCCCATATTCGATATATAGGTAAGTATGAAATATTGCCGAAGGCTGAACTGGACTTGTTATTTTATATCAGCAAGTTTCAATGGAACTGTCACGAAAATGTCTCTGGAGGCCCTTTAGCGATGTCGGTATTAATTCGGTCAAATAATGCAGGAAGATAATTACGGTGCGGTCAAACTTTTAATCCACTGAGTTGATTTAAATACAACACATTAACGGTTTAAAACGCGATATATTAGTTCAACTTGAAAATGATTTTTAACTCCGGCCCGACGTGTAACAAGTTAAAAATCATTTTCAAATAAGTTTAATATCGCGTTTTAAACCGTTAATGTGTTTTATTTAAATGTGTACTACTTGCGTAAACTATAGACCGTATTTAACTGAGTTGAATCAAAATGTATTATATTAGATTGAAAAACTCGGCTGCAATTGAGCTACCGTGTATAGTATCATGGGCAATAAGTTTAAACTTGAAATTTTAAAATTGTTAAGGATCTGTCTCTAACTATAACATTTATTATTATGGAGAACGACAGACAAGTAGGGTGGTATGGAATATCTTTATTTATTTTTATTTAACGGTGGGTAGGAATATCGTAATTACGCCCGGGTTACGCACCACCGTGCACAGATTAAAAATTCCGATTTCCGAATATCCAAAGTCAGAATAGATCGACAGCCATGTTTAGACATTATATGGCTGTAGTATTTTACCAATTATCGAGTGTGTCGGTGTGAGTGTGTGACTCTTTAAAAAAAATTGACAGTCAGTCGGTCTATTAAGAGATTATAAAAACGGTCTACATTACCTATTACAATACAATTTGTATGAATCATGTCATTTCACGTATTACTAGCGTTCAAAGTTAAACAAACTAGTGATAAGATAAAAACATTTTACAGATGGCAATATTAATGTAATATTTCATCATATTGTAACATACAAATGATATATTTACATAAAACACAGTTACAAAATATATAAATGCATCAACCAGCCTTATTTACCTCTTTGGTCTAGTGGTTAATACAAATTGCAGTTCACGGGGGTAAGTTTCGAATCTCGGGTCGAGAGAATTGTTAACTCGGTATTAGGATTTTTTGTTTTTCCAACAAAAAATCTAATACCACTCAGCGAAGTAGCGTGGTGTGTTGCATAAGCTCTTCTATGAAATAGTGGGCCCAGCTGTGGGCCATTCATAATTGAAAACGGCCAAAATAAAAATATAAAATCTGAGAAATTAAAATTTAAAAATAACTAAATTTTCTAAATATTTATGCTTTACAGAATGTTACCTACGTGACAGACCAACACATCGGGTGGTCGAATCTTGACCAATGAAAGTCGGTCGCGTCCAGTCGATCTTGCAAGTTTAACTTAAAAGATAAACATATTTCGTCGCAGGCATTTTTTTAAACATTTAAAGTGGAATAAATTTTCATACAAACTTTTAGGCTGTCCTAAATCGTTTTCGTAGCGAACGCAACAGAAACCCCCATTTCCCCCCCTTTTTTTCTACATTTCTCACTGTTTCCTCGCTCCTATTGGTAGATTGAATATTTTAAAGCCTCTTTTGATAAATGTTCTAACCAACGAGAAAATAATTTTTCACTTCAAACCAGCAGTTCCGGAGATAAACGCGTTCTAAGAAACATAGCCTTCAGGCTTTATGAAATTAGTGTAGAATTGGAAGTTATATGTGGCTTTAGTCAATTAATGAATTTTAGTTTTGATTTCGAATGCTAAAAACCTAAATGTGTCAGATTCCTGAGATATTTGATGTCTCCTTGAATTCTTTATGAGGCAAACAAGGCAGCAATTAATATTTTTTATTGCCGCCGTGCTCATCAATATTAAAGCACGCTCAAATTGACTTTCTTTATGTGTCGCTTTTCAATTGATCACTGAGGTATTTGGTAATGGAAAAATACAGTTACGTTTTCTTACAGTCAGAGATCAACAAATGTTTCAACATGACATAGTTCAGCAATTTTGTTTAGTGGTCCAATGGTAAGAATTTATGGTTAATAACTAACTAAGCGTGGGGTCGATCCATAATGGAGCCAAGATGTTTTTTTTTCATTTGTGGCAAGAAGAATTAACTATTTGCCAGTGTCAAAGCCAAGATGTTTCTAAATCAATTTACACTACACTGTCCACAGATGACATATCGTGAAGTGTATTCGCATTTCGGTTACAGTCTATGGTTTTCTGTATGTCCAAAGAAAAGATCTAAAGCGCATCTTCATCTTTCATGATATCTGTGTTCTCTAAAAAAAATTGTTTTATAGAACTTAATTTTTAATTTCAATTACTTCTCCGTGAACTACCTAGAACATTATATTAGCTAAATAGAAAAAGAAAGATTATTTACAAATTTAGAAGAAAGAATAACTAATTTTATATTTAGCAATGACAATTGACTATTGAAATTTCACACATAATATACACCATAAACAATATGTTCTGTAAAGGTGAAATTAGACAATTGTTAAAGTATTTATGGTATTCAAGCATTGTCAAGAATTGTCTAATTGGATTATCGCAATGTAGCTGTCGCTATAAATCAAGTTATTACTTATAGCAAACAACATACAAATGAACTGAACAGAACCTCGCAATCAAAATGATTATAAAGGCATTAGATTTTTACAAAATTGTATCAGATTGAATAAAATAAAACCTTACGTACTTTGGAACGCTTATACAATACCGAGTAAGTTTCAGTTAGTTAGCTAAAGATATCTTTTATAGACGATGATCAGACAAGCACGGAGTGGCCATTGCAGTTCCGGTGATGCAAGACAGAATACTCCAGCTATATAACAAGTAATTAAGATTTGGAAATACACAGACTCATGCCGAAACGCGGTTTTACACGTCACGCCTTTTCTATCGGTTGATAGCGTGAATCGGACAGAATTTCAGTATTCCTACAACTAACACAGTTTTAGGAATACTGAAATTCTGTCCGATTTAAATATAACACTTAACGGTTTCAAAGGTGAAATATATTCACTTAACCTTCGATCTGCAGCCCCCCGTAACTACAGCCGCTGCAAAGCATTCGAGTTAAAATAAATTATATGAACTAAGATATTTCGCGTTATAAACCGTTTATATGATTTATACAAATTTCCAAAAGTTTGAACTCGTGATTGAAATCGAATCTACGGCTATCTATATGCTATCTTATTGTCACACCATTAGAACAACCGACCTAACCTGTGATTATCCATTCCAGCGTGGTTGATTAGAAAAGGTTGTATTTAGCTTATAGCTAAGTAAAACCTTTTTCAGTTTGACGTTTGCTCTTAAGTTTTATACATTTTATTTTGTCTTTGCTTATGCCCTAAGTTTTTAAATATAATGAAAAATATTTGTACATATTGAACATATTTATACGTGCCTAATAAAAGACTGATTTGTGAACTAACAAAATGTGCAAAGAAAACAACCCTTCATGTTCTTCGAGAGCAAAAGCATTTTGACGTGTCGGGTCGGAATTAACATTTTAATTGTAAATGCCTTGTTTTTGGCGACGAGAGGCTTTGGTTCAGCAGTGACCTATGGAAAATCTCCCACTCTTGACGTTTAATTGAACATGTGACGGGCGATTAATGAAGTTACGAATATTTTAACGTCCTCTTACTAACAAAAAATATATACTCTAATATTTTGTTTTGATAAGTTTGTTATGTTATCTATACTCATATTATAAAGCTTGTTTCTTTGCGCGCGTTTATCTCAGTAACTATTGATTCGAATTGAAAATTCATTCAAGTGTTGTTTGGACTATTTATTGAGGAAGGCTTTAGGCTATAAAACGTCTAGCTGCGACCAATAGGAAACCGAACCGACAAAGAAACAGGGGGAAATGTGGAAAAAAAGGAGGAACTTTTTTCATCTTTGGGGACTTTTTTTGCGTGCGATCAAACGGTTCGAGACACCCAAATATTTAAAAGAATTATTCTTCTTTAAACGTTTTAACGACAGTCACACGATAGTGTTTTCCATCCTTTAAGATTAACTCCAAAAAGCTTTTTTGTAGTAATCAAATTTCGTTGAAATTTCGTCAAAACAACGTTTGCCAGGTCAGTTTAATGATAAGGGCAGACGTTGTTGATTTCCGATAACAAGCTGACGCTGAAGCTGTGTAACAAGAAAAAAATATATATTTTTCAAAGGACCCGAAAACCCCTCGTACACAATCCATCGCTGCGCAAGCGCAACAATTTGTGTTTTGCAATACAATTAATAAACGACAACGTTCATGCATTCTTACATTATACGACAACTTAAACTAATTTCGTTTTATTTACAGATAAATTCAAGATGGCGTCTACGAAATCGCAAAGTCCGAAATGCAAGATACGAGCTAACTTTGATGTCAAAAAAATTAGCCGATTTTACAAGAGCAAGGACAGCCTATTCTTCTACACTGTTATAACATTCTTAACAGTTATTGCACTTTACTTTTTAACGAAGGATTTGAAGGGCATCACCTCGCCAGAGGAAGTGGACTTGGGTTCTGTAAGAATATCACGTCATCATCGACAGAGGCATAACAGAACACGGAGGTGTGAAGATTATTATTAAAAGGTTAACAGCAGCTTACAAACAACCAATTTCCGTTAAAAAAATTGGATAACGCTGCAAATATACAAAATTTAAGATGTACTTAAATTTTTAGTTGAAATAAATTCCATGACACGGGCGGGACTCGAACACAGGTCCATAACGTTCGCTCATACTGCTAACGTGTTGAAGCAACAGAAGAGATCGTTGGTCGAGTCCCGAGCGTGTGGTTTTTAATCTAAAATCGATTTTTTATTAAAATAAAGATTTTAAACTTTCATATAAGAAGTAAACTTTTAAACTTTATTTATTACAATATTCGCCTTTTCCCCCCTCTAAAGTTGAATACGTATATAATGCCCATGTCTTGATCTATTTAAAATCTGTGTTTATACGTCCATGCTTAACCATAAAGATTTTTATATGTACATATATTATATAGAAGTACTGTCTCTGGTTTACGCGAGGAGTACACATTTAATTAAAAAAGGTTTTACGGTTTATAACTGGAAATACATTAGATACATTTACTTACAATTTATTTCAAATACCGTATAGTACAAATTTAAATAACACACTTTTGGCGGTTTAAAAAGCGAAATGTATTACATACTTAAAATTATTTACAATTAAACAATGGCTAGACATTTTATATGCATATAAATAGAACACTTAACGGATTAATACGCGAAATGTCTTCGTTAAACTTATTTACAATTTAGTTCAAATAAGGCCCGACGTTTAACATAATTTGCTCCCGTGACCACGGCTGCTACAAAGCATTCTAAGCATTTCACGTTTAAAACAGTTAAGTGTTTATTTAAATATTTCTAAAGAGTTTTTGTACACCTACGCCACTCTCGCATCCAGTAGCTTTATTTCCTTATGAACAACGCCGATGTTTGCGAAACAAACAAGATTTTTCAAGCCTCTGTTATTCATACTCGTTGACGCCAAGCCATATAAGAGTCCATCCTGGATCAGTAGATCTCCAGCTCTGACTGGACATTTCTCCAGATCCGTGACGCATATGACCTTGTCTTGTTGAAAGCTTGTCACTTCCGAAGAGTTAGCTGGTTGCTTAGCAATGTTGACTAGTTGTAATGATAAAGAGCGACCGCCCCGAAACGGTCGGCCTATTATGTACGCTTTACGCTGGAGATTTATGTTGCCGCCGATTTTGATAGATGCAGCGCACTTGGTGAAGTCCTCGAAGCTGGTTAGAATTACCAGAGCTTTGGTGATAACGCCCTCGTGGGGGATGACTTCAAAGGCGTCTACGGGAAATCCTTTTTTACATTTGGGCCTAGAAGTTAATATGAGTTATTAGTTAGTTGAAATAGGATGTCCAAGATAGACATAGTGACGCGGATACTTTTTTAATTTTTTTAAATGTTACTAAACTCCCTCTTTACGTACAATTGTTAAGTAAACAAATTGAGAATTTTTCTTTAAAATAAAACACTTTAATGGCTTAAAACGTGATATATTAGTAAAAGTAATTTGAAAATAATTTATAACTTCGGTCCGACGTTTCGGATGCTTTGCAGCAGCCGTGGTCAGTCTTCCCGTGACCACAGCAAGCATTTAAATGTGTACTACTCGCGTAAACTATAGACAATGTTTTTCTTACTCAGTAGGACTGCCCAAATGGAGACGAATCGGCCCAGACCGCAGACACAACTCATTCGCTAATATTGAAGATTGAGACAGGACAGCCCCAACACAGATTAACTCCATGTTGACAACAGATCGGATTCTAGCAACATATCTATATGCGTCAACTTTTACTAAGTTGCAATCTATGCTTGTATCCGAGTTTAAAGCTTTTGGATCGAAGTCTTTGTAATGTATGACAAGATTATGTATAACCAAACTCATTGTTCCTAAAAAAATTGAGCTGAGCAAAATTATAATGCCTATTTTACTTGCACGAGTGCGTTCATCCCAAGGGATCGATATAAAATTGTGGCGGAATTCGCAGTTATCCTCCGTTGTTCCTTCGATCAATGCGGTGTTATTGTCTGCGATATCCATGATTCCAAAAAATATGTAATTGCAGTGACGAATAGAAAACGTGTCTTTGAAACTAGTTGGCGCCGCGCGCCGAATCATGAAATGACTTTTAAACTCAGCTAATAAATTGAACGTTGGAGTAAATTATTTATGATTTACATAATAAATAATAAAACTAAAATTCTACATGAGATTCAATTACTCTACTGCGTATGAAGAGAACCGAATTTAGCCTTAGGTGAGTTTTTCGATAAATAATTTATTGTAAAATCATATAGAGTTTGAAGTATAAATAAATATAAAAGGAAAACTCTTTAATGGTCTCTAAATAAGTAGCGACGGTTCCCAAGACGCCTGGTCACTTGAAGAGTTTTGATCCATGGTAATGATGGACGCGTGTAAACCGTTACATAGGCATCACTGCGGATAATGTTTTACAGTTTAACATAGGGATATTATGTAGCAACACTTACAGGAAAATTAAATTAAATTATATTTGCTGTATAAAATAAGAAAAAAACAGCTTATTGTGTATTAATTTATTTACCAAATGACAAACTTATGTTTTAACATTTTTGCCAGATTCGAAAAAATACTACATACATTCTAGGTAATATCAATGACATCTGTCAAATTTTAAAGTGACAGATTTAAATTTTGACACTCATAGTTATTAAAACAATAACATTTCATTATAATGAATATCTATTCTAACTAATGTTTTACTATAGAATCGTGATAAAATTAAACTTGCATATGAAATCATTGCAACTTAAAAATATGCACTCTTCGTAATAAAGAAATTGAAATCTTAACCAACTTTCAAAAATGCCGACTGTACTGCTTTTAGATACTTCCCTTTCCATGAGTAGACCTGTTCCTTCTTCAGACTCATCTGAAAATCATACACGGCTCACTATAGCTTCAGCAGCAATCAATACATTTTTGGATTACTTGTCTGTGCATGCGAAATTAGAATATGTATCTTTGGTAACTTTTTCATCGAGTTACGAAGGTAAGCATAATTCTCTCTCTAACTTCATTGCTTTAATACTAAAGTTGAATTATTTTTTTTATATACAACTTATGTGCTGCTCAATTGTGTGGCTATTTTGCTTAATATGAGTGTTTTAAAGCCTTTCTTTTCAATAAGCATCTTGAGAGTAACCTGTTCTATAAAGTAGTTAAGTATTAGGAAATATATGAAATTAACCATGTTTATTACAAATCTATTCCAGTTAGTATTCCTTTCACTCGAGAATATGATAACATCAGAGCAAAGCTGCCCCTGCTGGAGGAAGGTGACAAAACATGTATTGAAGCAGCTCTTCTTGGTGTCAATCAGTTAATATTGAATGAGTGGGGCTATCAAACACCTGTACAGATAGTTCTGGTAAGAAGGTTGACTACATATTTTTTATTACATTACTACAGCACCATTCCTACTCAATGAATGATCAGACCAAAGATGCTCACACCTTTTTACTATTGATAATTAATAATAAAACACTTTAACAGTTTAAAACGCGATATATTAGTTAAACTTATTTAAAAATGATTTTTAACTACGTTTTGGATACTTTGCAGCAGCCATGGTTACAGAGAAACAGAGAAATAAGTTTGCCTAATATATCGAGTTTTAAACCGTTTAAGTGTTTTATTTAAATGTGTCCTACTCGCGTAAACTATAGACATTGTTTAATAAAATTGCTAACAAACTAAAACATATAAAGCTATGTTTTTCTAAGCTGCTTGTTTAATTAAATAACATTTTACCATCAGACTTTTCCACTTGTGTTGTTGAAACCGGGAACCAATTCTCAATGACAATTAAACCATTTTAAAACCTTTATAAATATAAACTTTGCAAATTTGCAAAGCCTTACACAAGTTTTCCTTTTCTTTTGCAGGTGACAGATGGAACATTTGGTGCTGGTCCCATTAGAAGAAATCAAATTATTCAAGCTCTGCCTTTACCACCCACATTTCCAGTTAGGATAAGCATTCTGCCCATTGTCACTCCAAATGATCACTCCTTACAACAAGGTATACAGGAATATGGCCCACGAGATGTGTCGAGTGCTAGAAAATCTGTTAAAATAAGTCTTGTCTAGTAAAAATTCATGTTATTAGAAGTGCTTATGAGCTATACTGGACTTTTAGATATATTGCTAGAACCAACCAGCAGAATAGTGTGGCAACACACATCCATATTTGTCAAAGACAAACCTTTTATTTTAAAGAACGCATACATCACAGTACGACAATAAATTTAGTTATACATATATGTTCTAAATAATACAGTTTCATAAAACGAAATTGAGGAATACTTGTAAATTGGGAGAAGGCACTTAGCTTATGCAACATCAAAAAGGTTGAGGCAGGTCACTTCTTACCCCTGAGGGGTAAGAAGTGACTTGAATACACAAAAAAATAAACAATACGAAACAAACTAATAGTATATAAAAAGTGTATAAATAGGTTATAGCCTCATTTTGTTTTCTTTTCAGCTATGCCCCTTTATCAGAAGATTATAGACCTGGCGAGCAATCAAAACTGTTCTATGGGTAATATATTGAGAGGTGCAATATACTGTCCGGACCAGCTGAATGTACCTGGAGTAAGTAGTTTTATACCCCGTTTGTTCCACATTTCTCACTATTTCTTCAATGCTATTAATCACAGCGCATCGCCTTATAGCCTAAAGCCTTCGTTGATATTTATCAACGAAGGCTGCTTGCTTGCTTTTTTGTGTTGGTTAGAGCATTTGCTCTAACCAACACAAAAAAAAAATTCAATTCAAACCTTTATTTATAGTTCCTGAGATTAGCATGTTCAAACAAACTCTTCAGCTTTATATATTAGTATAGATGAGTTTGTGCACATTTGTTCTTTTAGAGTTGTTACAGCTACCTCTGAGTAAATAAGAACCGTTTTATCCTCTTGCATAAATATTATAATGATATTTTCAGGCAATAACAGCTATGTCCCGATTATGCGAGCAACAGTACCAAGAGTTTTGGTGTTCGCTGAAGTGCGGTCAGTTGGAGGCACGCGTGCAGTTGTTCCCAGCACCGCAGCCGGCATCTCATGAAGGTCTATCTGCTACGTACACAATCTCCCATCAATTGCACGTTATCGGGTTTTTGTCGCAACAGGATTTAGGTACATATTACAATTTGATATTTATTTGAATTTGATAAATATGCAAATAGTACACATTTAAATAAAATTTTAACGGTTTAAAACTTCGTAATATATTAGTTAACTTATTTTTACGGTGACCCGACGTTGAAGATGGATTTGTGTGGTATAAATAGTGATCAATATATTAATATTACACGTTTTAGACTACAAATTGAAAGTTTTAATGTACTGAATTTGTATTTTTTTTCTAGGTACCCCTATAGCATTAAGTAAACATTTGATTATACCTCAAGCTCAATCCAATAATAGTAATAACAACCGAGAGAATTTTGGATCTAAGACTCCTACCAAGGTAAGATTTCGTATATCTTTTTTCAGCATTAAAAAAGATCTTCTTTTTCTTAACATTATACAATATCAAATCCCAATTATGTCGTTCAAATGTCTTAATAATGTTTCACGAATAAATCATAGAAGGTTTGAGTAAATTATTTATTCGCAGGAAGGATCCAGTACAGATGGCTCCACTGACGAGGATAATATTTCGGATCCAAGTAAAGTTCCCAATTTCTGTGTGTTACTACATGGTGCTCTAAAGGTATGCTACTGTTTTAATGATTATCATTATGTTATTGATTATATCATATCATTATCATATATCTGATCATTAGCTAGCATGAACATGAATTAGTGAAAGATTGTTTCTCCTGTGGATTACAGGACACATTTCTGTGTCCGATTTTTAAACAGGCAGGCAATGGATCAGATTATTATGTCGGATCTGAACTGAGGACTTTTAAGTTCAGTGTATCAAATTAACGTTAAATAAATATGTTAAAGGTTGAAGGTATGGCAGCGGTGGTGCAACTTGGCTCCGACTGGTGGGGTACAGTGTCAGCTTGGTGTGAAGCGTCCCGGGCAAGGCGATCGTGTCTACTACTGAGTGTTCTGAGGCCGGGAGCTTCTGCAGCACCTTGGCTGGGTGCTCTCGATCAGCTTGGGCCTATTGATGAAACGGCTACCAACCGTGAGTTATATATCTATACTTCTATACTAATACTATAAATGCGAAAGTAACTCTGTCTGTCTGTCTGTCCGGCTTTAACCCCGAAACTACTGAACTGATTTAAATGAAATTTGGTACACAGATATTTTAGAGCCTGGGAAAGAATATATTTTTAATGCCAAAAAAGGGTTGAAAAAGGGGGTGAAATTTGTATGGAAATTCGTGGTTTTTGAAGCTAGAAAAATGAAACTTTCTTCATTGGCTTTTTTCGAATAGGCGTGGGAGTTACGAGTAGGAGTAAGGCAAAGTAGCACTTACAACATAGATTGGCTGCCTTAAATGCGCCCTTACATAAATTAATAAACAGCCTAAATAATAAAAAATTCTACCCCTCAATGTCTTTCTCTTCAATGTACATGACTTTTTAATTTCTCTTTTTTTTAAGACGTCTTTCAAAACCATTTTTTTTTTCAGTGGTGGTTGTTGGACTTTACTATAAAACTACTAGTTTCCCCATTCTACATCTCTTTCGATTCTAAAACTATAGTCTATAAAGTGAAAATTATCTCTAGTTTTATTCTTTTATATTAATTATTATATACTGTTAGGTTGCTAAATATCATATTTTTTTTAGCCGAGACATTTCCCGTGCGTTCCTGGCGGTCATACAGCGGAGGCGGATCTGGGTGCGCATGGGCAAGACCGCACGCACTTCTCGCTGATGTACAGAAAGTACTTCGGCACGCGAGGAAACTTCCTGATAAAACGCAACATTTGTACAAGGTAATCGATGTCTTAATCAAAAATCTTACCTTTAAATAAAACACTTTCCAGTTTCGTTAAATACTAAGAACGGCGGAACACATGACGCTCGCGAAGCAATTTTTCTTTGACATTAGGGACACCCTCAATTTTTAGTTCCCTCTTGACTACGACTGCTGATAGCATTTGAAATATCAGGTCGTAGTTAAAATAAACTGTTTCACTAAGTCATTTCGCGTTTTAGACCGTTAAAAGTTATTTTAATGTATACTACTCGCGTACAGGCAATACTTATTCAATACAGTTATTTTTTTGTGATATTATTGATTTCTTTAAGTCGTACGGACAAAGAAGTATTCAAATTTTAAAAGACAAAACCGTAAAATATTAATTAAATCACACAGATGGCGCTAGCGTAGCATATTTACTTTCATATTAGGGACGCTTTTCCATCTTCAGCCATCCCGTGACCACGGCGCCATAATATAGTGAAAAAAACGTTTAAGTATAAAAGTTTAAATCGGATTTGAATCTTAGACTTTCTCCGCATTTAAAAACCGATGCTATTAGTATTGTACCATTTATCCAATTTGCAGGAGCTGAACCGGCTGCGTCGTGCTGCAATATCTCTAGGGTTTTCCGAGCTGCTGACGTGTGTGGGCAGCGCTTTAGAACGTGAATGCGCCGCGTTGGGGGGATCCGCCCCGCCTGAGTGCTCGCTGCAGTTGGCACACGCTGCTGCCGCATTAAGGGACCCGCGAACAGCACTCGATATCAAACACACGTTACAACCCCTAGCGCCAGAATTCACTGTTGCTTCTATGTCGCATTAAATAATATAATAAGCCTTTTTATTTCCTTTCTCCTGTACTTCAGATTGGCTGGAAGAGATCGCCGCTTAGCGATAAGACCACCTTTTATTTATAAGTTAGTACTTAAGATTTTATCTCTTGTAGTTTTTGTTTTGTGGTATGAGTTATGAATAATAAAGCTTAAATAAATTAAAAATATAAATCTGCCAAGTACGAGTCGGTACGTGAACGACAGATAGCGTACCAGCGCCGGCACAAACACGTTTTTTACAATAGATGAGGACAGACACAAGGATTACATGATTGAATCGTTGTCGACCTTTTCGATGGATATACGAAAAGGCGATTAAACATGTTTTTTTATCTGTGGCCGGTTCGTGACAGGACGGAATTTCGACATTCCTACCCACATATTTAATATCCGGATTTACTGCCATATCGTAGTAATAACATGTAATGGGGTCCCGTTTTTACCTTTGAGTACGGAACCTCAAATAGCCTTTTTAATTATTAAAGGATATATTATAGGTTTGGAGACCTAATAAAATTAAATTCTGTTTAGTTTTAAACGCCTAGGTGAGTTTTGAAAATACACACCAGTTTTTATTTGAAATTATTTAATCTTCATTTTCAGTTTTCTTAGACTGTTCAAGTTCGTTCGAGCGCTCTTGAACGATGGTTGAAGTTCTAATGCCTTTTCGTACATTTCTTCTGCAAGATCGTATTTTCTCCAACGATGGTAGAGAACTCCTGCAAATAAGATCATTTTTTTAGAGCAAAAGTAAGGCCGCTAGAGGCACAGTAGCCTAACTGAAGTTTTTATGACTCGAGTTATTCATATTTTCACAGCCGAAAAGTGTTAATCTACAAGAGCACAATGACCGAAAATAAAGTTTATTGCGTATTTTTATTTTCCTCCTTATGGAAAATCATTTTTTTTGTTATTATGCTACACTGCCCTAGCAGCCTCAAATGCTTATTATCATTATTTTCTGTGAGTGGGGAACTAGGGGCAGATAGGTAATTTTTGTAAAGGTAAAAGGGATATCATTGTCACTTAAAGACCAAATAAACTGCATCATTATCCGGGGAATAGGACCCTGTACTACTCGAGCAGCATCTGTAATAACGTCGTATAAAGTAGATGTGCACATTACTTCTTAGGCATAACGCAAGGTCTTCTATATTAAGAGAAAAGAACGAATTTCATACCTAGATTAGCATAGTGGATTGGCTTCCCTTTGTTTTTAAATAAATCGATAGCTTTTAAAAAGTATTCCTCAGCCTTCTCATATTGATCCAATTTCCCATAAATATTTGCGATCGCAAATATAACCGATGGGGTATCGGGTAGTTCTTTGAGAGCTTTAGGTATTGTCTGTAATGCTGTTTCCATATCACCTTAAAAAGATATTTTAAAAAGTTATTTTTTTTTTAATAAAACATCTGTAACGGTGAAAACCAAGAAATTTATTAGTTAAATGAAGTTTTATTTTTAGTGCGTTATTTTAATGTGTAGTTCTTTTTTCAATGATCTAAAAAAATGTCGGGGACAATATATGTCTATCTTTTAAGATCAACTTGGGCGCGATATAATACAGAAGATGTTGTTTGCAAAAATAAATATGATGCACAAAATAACTATGCCATGCGGACGAAGTCGGCGGCACAGCTAGTATACAGTGAGAACATACATACATGTGAGAATTTTAAATTAAGCAGTTGGTAAGTAATAAAACCGGAGAAAACGAGTCATCCGTCAGTTCCATATAGTGTTAAAAGCTCACAAATAACCCAATGGACTCGCGTGGTGGGTCTCCCATGGGGTCTGGGCCCAGCAGTGGTATCACAATTGGTTAAACTAAATAAATAATAAATGTACCTATATTGTCAAGCACAGCCAGTAAATTCGTCCACGCCGATTTATGTTTCGGGTTTAACTGTATTGCTTGAAACCAGGAAGCAGTCGCCGATTCAGTTTTATTTAATTCCAAATACTGAAATAAAAAATATAGACAAGTACAAACACAGAAAGAAAAACAAAACTTTTTGGCAAAATCTATGAACATTAAAAGCCAAGAGCTAAAAAAAGCCAATTGAGCTACTGAGTCCAACGATGACGTCGAATTTTTTCAACCTATTGACACATACGCCTCTCACGCAACCCTTACATGGTTAAAATTACATATACGCAAGCAAGTAATTACATTGCGCAAAAGGTGTTTGTATCAATAGGTTGAAAAAATTCGCCAATGTCGTCATCGTAGGACACAGTAGCTCAATTCGTTAAAGTAACAGCACGGGACGCTGTAGATGGTGGTTTAAGACCTGCCCGACTCGTATTCTTTTCAATTTACAATCGATTTGGAATGTACGTCCAAGCATGGTAAGGTCTATATTGAAAATAAAAAGCGAACACTCTCAATCTGGTGGAAATCGAACCCTAGACTTGTGGGTATCCAAACGTTGCTATCATTGAACAACGTAAGTAGATATACTCGTATATCCATACACTTACCAAATTTCCTAGATTGTAATGACAATCAGGACACTGTTTGCGATATTTCAGAGAATTGTTATAGGCTGTTTCTGCTTCTGCATAATTCTTCATACTAGCCAGGACTATTCCTAAATTCATCCAGGCCGCCGGAAAATCGTTCCTAAATGAAAAATAATTACAGTTAGAATTATAAAAAGATAAGATAAGGTAAAGGTGTATCTAGAAACGAAGATTAAAAATTAAAAATACATTTTTAATTCACTATAAATAGATTTAGGTCTGTAGTTTGCGCGGGTAGTTCATATTTAAATAAAACTGGTTCACAACGCGAAGTGTGTTAGTTAACCTATTTATTTTGATTGAAAAGGCTGTCCCAAATATTAAAGTCAGAAATCAGTTACGCTAGCGCCATCTGTTACCGGTAAAAGTGATTTATTCAAATTTACTATAGTGTTAACACAACGCGTAAAATAACAAATTTATTTACACAAGAAAATTAATTTAAATAGCCATAGACTATGGAATTTGTTCTCTTAACATAAAAAAAAGTTTATAAATAAAACGAGGGTAGACGTAGAAACGCTTACTTTAAAGAAATTGCTTTTCTTAAATAGAACTCTGCTTCGCTGAACTGTTTGTGATTCTTCAGTAAAATGGCATAATTGTTCATAGCTTGATAATAATCAGGATATAATCTGGAATTGGAAAGAAGGACAATGTCATGTTCGCTTCAACCCCGACTGGATCCAGGTCTTGTTTTTGCTTGTTTATGAGGGACCCATTGGTCTAAAGGCAGCAACGTATGGTCGTGGGTTCGATCTCCACCGGGTGCAATACGTTTCAAATTAATGTATAGTGTCTCTGAAGCATGTTAGACTTCGTCTGGAAATCTGGATATCAAACAGGTTGTAGAAATATCGCAATTCCCTTACAAGACATAGATGAAAAAGCCGTGACGTTAAATCGGGCTTCGGTTACAGTCTGTGGATTACCGAATAACTAAAGCCAACGCGCATCTTGTTTAGATGTTAAATAGCTGGGGTATTCCACCTACGATCGAATGAATGCTCGTCTATTCTCCTCTATCATATTATACTATGATAGCCGGGACCGACGTCTTAGCGTTCACGTTTGTACAACAGTCTTACTTATTCCTTATTATTTTACCTGCCTTATGGCTTCTTGATATTCTGCCATTGCCCATGAGACATTATTTTTCGCATCTGCAACCTTAGCTACATTGTAATGTACTTTAGCGTTCAAAGGGCAGACTAGCAGGCCACTTGTAAACAGTTTGTATTCCGTTTGCCACTCGGACGCTCGCTGCATACTCCGAAGGGCGTACATTAATATGACGAAATGAAATATGGAGATCATTATCTGGAAATAAGAGACATATTTGTGTAAGAGTAAAATTCGATCTTAACTTGGAGCAAACATATGTCTGTGTCCGTTTAACTTAGCTGTTTCGCGTTATTGAGAATTTTAGTGCCTGAAATACAAAATGGCGCCTGACGTGATACAAAATGGCGTTTGGAAAAAATGGGGGCAAAATTAAAGCACGCTGTTTTACCGTCTGTGTTAATCAAAATATTTCCAAACTCTTTATTGCACAAACATAAGACCATAGACACTTTTAAACTTAAACAAAATAAAAAATGTTCAACTACTGGATGATAAGTTAAAATTCCTATACTTTTATGCTGATTGTGTTTGTTTCCCTCCAGAGCTTTTTTTTTAAATAAAATTCATACTAATAAAATTTATATGAACTTTCACATGCATGAACAAGTAATCTAGTATTCTATATGAGCAATCCCAAATGTTTATAACGTTTTAATACACACCCTTCTTAAGTTTTTTGATTTAAGCCTTAGAAGAATTTTTTGAAGGCCAATAACAACCAGTAAGCAATATCCCGCTGACGGTATATATAAAATCCTTTCAGCAATCACAAAACCAACCGCATAAAAAAGATTTGAAGCTGGCAGGAACGGTATAACGAATAGACTCTGTGACAAAATGACGAGCCTGAAACTAATTCTAAATTAATATTTGTTAAGTGGCGAAGGTCTATCCACAGATTACGTAACAACTATTGTTGAATAAGTTAGTTGTCGACTACAAATGCAACAAAAAAGTGGGAGGACTAAAAAAAAACACTTTTAACGGCTTAAAACGCGAAATTATTAGTTAAACTTATTTACAAAGCATCCGGTACGTCAGGAGGTAGTTACAATAATTGGTAAATAAGTTTAACGAATTCATTTCGCGTTTTAAACCGTTAAGTTTTTTATTTCAAATTCTAATACTCGCATAAACTACAGACAGTGTTTAAGTGGCAGGATCCTAATTTTAGAGACATAACATTCGGTAATTAGAGCAAGAATATGACGAAGCACTCAGTGGCGTAACTATACCGTTCGAGGCCCGTGGCAAATTCATCGAATGGACCCTCCCACTTCCCCAATATATAAAGAAACTTAACCAACAATTGAGATTTCCTCTGACCGGGTGCCCCATCGGGCTGGGGGCCCGTGGCATTTTGCCGACTTGCCACCCTATAGTTTCGCCACTGGAAGCACTATACTAAATACTATTAAACAATCACATATTTACTTTTTTTTTGCTACTTGCACACGAATGGAGTAACAAGTAGTAAGGACGATGACCCCTCTTACAATAATTAAACAAAAATGTAAATTCTTACCTAAGTTCCTAAAGCATACATACCTTAAAAAATTGGATATACGTCCTGATTTTAAAAGATACCAAATGATTAGAAACGCATATACATATAAAGTGACAACAAAGAATATTCTATAGTCCGAATAATCTTCTATCAAAGGAATACATCCCATGGACCAATCATAACATAACCATTTGGGCCACATCAAGAGTAAAATATTTATGAAATAAATATAATTATAGGTAGCTAGCTGAAAAAAAATATATATAAATAATTATTATGCTAACAAAACCTTCATGTTTACTCAATGTGTACTTATATACAATTATATCTCATTTATTATTTGATGCACAATAGATGAAAAATAATAAATGATATACTGCATCTTCTCATAACCCCTAAAGGTTGAATTAATCGAAATATAAAACTCACATTTGTAAATAGATCACTGGAAAATGCCGCTGGATTATCTGTCGCTTTGAATTCAGGTTTTGCCCTACCCATTATAATCCATCGCAAATAAAGGAAACAAAATACAGTGATTGTGGTTGAGATCCATCTTATTATAGTGTATCTGTTTAGGAGATCCAATGTGTATATGAAGGCTGTTTTGCCAGTACTTTTAGCTGTTTTAATTTTCACAACTAGTTCATAAATAACACAAAAGCCCTACAAAATAAACTTATTTAAATTTCAAATCCTAAACAGGTTGTCACTCAGTAGTTAAGTTATTGAAACAGTTTTACAGTAACAAGCAATTAGATTGTAATCGTCTTTAGCCAAAATTATAAAGTTTGAACTATGTTTACCACTAATATACAGGTGATGTAAATTGTACATACCAGAACAGTAACTCCATTCTCCTTAAACAACATAGCAATTCCAGCAAATAAAAATGATGAGGATAGATAATAAATAGACATCCAACAATCATTCATAGCTCTGTCGTACATAAGAAATGATATAAAAAATGCTATAGCAGCTAAAATATCAGCTCTTCCAACAATACCGGACACAGCTTCAACATGCACTGGATGGCTGCTGAATAACAGCGCTGCCAGAAATTCCACATTTAAGTAGTTATTATTTAATTTCAGTCTTAGTAAAAGAGTCTTGTAAACTGTCCACAACAATAGGCAACATGTAATATGCAATAAACAATTTGTAATTTTAAATTGTGGTGCAGAAAGTCGTTCACTATTGAACAAATAATTCAACCTAGAAAAAAAAGACAGTATAAAGAAAATTAAATGCTTAAGATTTACTAACTTGTGATTTTTAATATTGAAACTTACTTAAAACTTATTATTGTTAGTGGCCTGTATGATTTGTGGCTAAAAGCATTGTCAATCCTAGATCCCCAAAAGTCGTGGTGAAAGAGGTCTGTCCACGAATTTGATGTGACGTCGTCATTTTTCAAAATCGCTTCAGTATCATCAAATACAAAGTCACCATCGAGACTAAAGAAATAGGGTACACCGGCAACTAGTAAAACAATTATTGGCTGATACCACATTAGTCTTATCTACTTTGGATTACTAATTGATTTGATACAAAGTCATGAAATTTCTTTTCTTCCATATATTATATACCATATAACAATTTATTAACAAAATATAAATTATTAGTGATTTCTTTTTCCGATGGAACAAGTGTAAACTGTAAACAATGTAATCAGATGTCAAAACTTTTAACAAATTGATTGACATTAAACATAATTTGACTATTGCGGAGCGTGCAGCAGTGATACCAACATAAGGGTTGCATACCAATATTTTAAGGCTCTTTTAAGGGATTTACTAATTAAGAAAATTTATACTGTATCCGGAATTGGCCTTCGATAAAATCTAAAATTTTTTAATACTCACACCATTTCAGGAAAACAAGACATGAATTTTATTACATTATTTTTATTGAGGTAGGTATAATAAATCAACATAAAATTTTAAATTTTCTTTTAATGTACACAGGTACTTTAATTGACTGCAATATTTAGCATTTCTTATAAACAAATATGTCCAATTGAAGGTACATCGATAATGTTAAAAGTGACATTAGACAATATGACTTTGGCACATGCAGTCTCCAGGGACCAGCCGGCAAAAATTTAAACATTTCCTAATTCCTAGGAAACATAATAAAAAGCAAATAACTTAGAACACAGTATTATAATGGATTTCACAAGAGATTTAATAGCTTTTCAGGGCGCCATTCTATCAGCTGACAGTGCTTACCCGTTCTCAAAAATTAAAGCTCGAGGCGGTAATAAATTGTTGCTTTTTAAATATTAATATTATTCTTGTGATCCTCTTTATTTATATTTATGTTTCAGGAAATGAAAAGAAAATCGAAGGTGTTATTAAAATGTTAGACGAGTTTCTATGTCACTTTCTTAAAGAAGACGAATGTGATAAGAATACAGGATTATTACGAAAATTCGCACTCTACATTGTTCTGAACTCTGATATAGAACTATTAGAATACATGGATGGTGTTGGTTCAGTAGTTTCAACCACCCCTACAATACCGAAATGTCTAATGAATGATATGCTCTGGCAACTTAGAATGGAAGGTTTTGTGCAAGAAATAATTGTATATTCTCTACCACAACTGTCTCTGCAAGTATCAGACATATTAATAGATCATTTTAAATATTTTCAACCTACTAAATGTTTGAAAAACCTTCAAATACTAGTTACTTCATGTTACAAGTTAATATATAGATTAATGTTTTTCAATATAAGTAATAGTGATGTAGCGCATGCCGTGAATAATTTTCATTGTAGCTTAAAATACTTCTATGAACCTCCAAATTCAAGGAAACTTGAGATGCTAAAAAAGGATGAAAAGTACAAGTATGTGGGAAACACTCTGTACGCACTGCTCATAACATTATTTGATTGTTTTAAAGATTATGTTGGGAACCATATGTTTAAACCCCCCTATGAAATTTATGAACACACCTATTATGAGGATTGTGTTAACAATTTGAAGGAAACTGACGTAAAAAATACACCATCCTTTGATATAAGAGAAAGTATTGAGACTTGCAACACGGAACTACTCGATATGTGCAAAGAGTTGGTAATGGAAGTAAGTGTTGAGATTTACTGCGCCTGGAGTGAATTTGACGATAATGGCAAAAGTATGCAACAAACAATTGGGGAACTATGTTATAAAGTCCAGAATAGTTTGAAGACTATAGACACTATTTCTGAACATCCTGTCATCAATATGCTTGGCCAAATTTCTTGTAAGCCCTTAGACTGTGTGGAAGTAATTAATGACATAGACAGTGATACTATTCTTACTAAAATTCAAAATGAGGAAAAAGACAAATGGGTTAAAGCTCTATTGCATAGAAACAATCTGTGTAATGATCTGACTCTTGTACACGAACTCATGTTAAATTTGCAACTCCTAAATGATGAAGAGTGTTGTAAACTTTTTAGGATCTGCAAGTTATATGTCACAGAAACTACAGATGGTCAAGAAAAGGTCCTAGAGCTGATTATAAAAGCTTTTCAACGATGTAGCTTAGAAAATAAAATTGAACTTCTAGAGGAGCATTTTGATGGTGCTTTCAATGATAGCTTACTAACAGAACAATTCAGTAACACATTGGTCGAGGTATTTAACAAATTAACCATGTTGCCTGATGCCGATCTATCTGAAGTACTGTGTCTATTTTTACAAAGTCCAATACAAGTGTACAGAAAGATATTTTGTCTAGCAACCGAAAATTTCCAACAATTACAAATTATGGTGAGAATCATGAAATTTATGGAAAAGTTTTCTAATTTCTATTATGATCATGAAACAGAATCCAGCATATTGGTTGTCACTAAGGAGTCAATGAACACTGTGGATGAGAATAAAATAAACAACTATGTTACGTTTCTATGTCAATTGAAAACTGCAAACATACTTTCGGGGTCAAAACTTTTACTTCTAGTTATAATGCCGAGTTTGCATAATAGTCTCTTAACTAGAAATATTTTAGGCATTTGCATACAATGCCGATTGCTGATAGAGGCGTTTTCCTTCGCGGAAGTTGTCGAATATAGAGCACCAATGCTGGCAATGCTAGGCCAAGTTTTGGATGCAACTAGATGGAAAATTAACACATTTGAGGCCATATCACCAACAGCTCTGGAGTTAGGTTTACAGTTGGTGTCTTCGCTCTTTGACTCTCAAACGGATTCTGGATGTTCTGTTTTAATTAAAGGTTTTATAATAATTGTTTTTTCTACATCTCACTTTAAATATGGTTGACATTAAATTTTCTTTATTTTTCAGAGAAGGAAAAATCATGGCTAAAGATGAAATTAAGGAATATAGATCCTCTAAATATGTATTTTTATAGGCAACTTTGGAACCCTCCTGGAGAGACCTTTTTGGAGATAGTGACTGGCATTCGGATACATAAAGATATGGATGTTGAACGTATAACATCTATGTTATCAAAGGTACTTTCATTTACTATAATGTTATATACTAGAAATTTGATTTATTTAACATTCAAAGTAAATTCCAAATGGTTACAAATTAGATTTTTGTAATAACGGACAATGAAACAGGAAAAAATAGTAAGGTTTTACTTGATTTCAATGCACCCCAAAATTTATGCACAAGAAGTATAATCTATTTGGCTGTAAATGAAATAGTTCAGTGCAATGGACTCAGAAATAAAATTCAATATGTACCATTTAAATAACACACTTTCACGGTTTAAAACGACATTTCGGATGCTATGCAGCAGCCGTGGTCAATGGGAGACCCAGTTTAACTAATATATCGCGTTTTAAACCGTTAAAGTGTTTTATTTAAATGTGTACTACTCGCGTAAACTATAGACAGTATTTAAATATGTACCAATTTTTTTTTAACGATACAGTGTTGGCGCCCCACACAGAGAACATAAATAATTTTTTTACCTTTGTCTACTATATTCCTAAATAAACTAAATGTTAATTTCGTTGTTCTAAGGTATTATGTTCCACAACATTACAAGAATGGTATGAAATTTGGGAAAATTTGAAAATATTTCCTATGAAGTGTGCGTTTAACGTATTCCACGAGGCGCTGTTGTTAATAGCCCTTGCTGAAAAGAATCACCACTCGAAAGAAACAAGGGCGTGTCTTATGTATTGCTTTCAAAACTTCACACAATTAGCTAGGGTAAGTTATTTTATGACAGCGGCGCAGAACCAAATTTAGGGCAACAGAAGTGTGGAGGCCCCCTGGCCCAAAATATTTTAATCTCTATTGTTATTTTTATTATTTTTTATGATGCACAAGGACAGACAAACATGGGATCATAATAGGGAGATACATTTTCGATATGCCTACCACCTATTAAATAACTTCTATATGCAGAACGGCTACCCTATGTTGGCTTTGTGCTTTTTTTAACACATGCATGTCCATTTCACTGATTGATTTTATGTAAAGGCCCTTAGGCAGTCATACTACTATGCCTTACTCGACAGAAACAGTTCTTCTCTATTATCCTGGCATCCTGGTGAGGTAAGCTCGAGAATCCATCTCTCGAATAGACGTGTGCGATGTATCTAATTTTTAAATAAGAAAATGGTTGATGTACGCAAAAAAGGGTGTACCTATAGTACATATTTAGATGGGGCTGACCCATTCCTGTATCAATCAATCGATTTTGTGTATAGCCCGCGGAAACTATTTTTATTGCCCCAGGAGTTATGTAGCAAGGAGTGTTCAAAAATGTTTTTGTTCCAGTTCAAATATTTATATGACACCTTAGATGAAAACCAAATACTCGACGTGGTGGAAAAAATTATTGTTTTCGAAAATTGTGTTCAAGAAACCGACGCTGAACATTGCTTGAGTACGTTGTTGCCACTCTTTGCCTTCATGATACAATATCGAGGCTATCCAGCTGTAGCATCAATATGGAACTCCGTGGCTGATAAAGTAAAAAACGAGGATTTCTTAAATGTTATGAATAAGAACATTTTCAGTAAAAATATAACACAGAATTAAAATGTACTTCTTGAGATTTGTTTAACTTTAAACCTTGTAATAAATGATTACTAATAATTACGATTATAAGTGTACCTACCTACACGAATAAATGGTATTTGAGTTGGTTTTTGTGGGTCACAAGAATGGAGAGACCGGTGGATTTAGAATTCAAAATATACCTGCCAACATTTCTTCGATCCCATAGAGCCTTCGGTACTACAATATACAATAAAATAATTATAATAACAAATACTAGATCATACATTTTTTATTTTTCTTCCCGTTTCTTAATAATACCATCACAGTTCACTATCGGAGTTTTTTATCTACGTTGAAGTGTATGAAAAAGTTGTCATTTCAAAAGTTGAAAACGCAAAATTCCTGTCAAGAAAATTAATACCTATATTATTACACGATGTTTACATTTTGCAGTTGTGACGATAAAGATTCTGACCTAAATGGGGGTGCGGAAACATTTCCTAGTTCAGAACATTTATGGGGAATGCTTGGCGCCATAATCGCCACGGTGTTGTGCTGGATGTGCTATGTAAAGGCAAGTATGAAAAATAATATGAGGGATATGATAATTTAGGCTCACAATACGCTGTTCCGTTGCGTTTTCGGGATTTAAAAACTACCGTCAATAAATTAGTGAAGAAGACTATTGTATAGGTGCACGGATGTTTAGCGTTGAACGAAACGCGTTGCGCATCGGTACAATCGCGCACGTAATTGATTTGAAAAAACAATTAGATATGTATCTGGTATTACAAGTGTGACTTTAATCTATTTAGCTATTTTATTAATTTTATGATCATATATAATGCTAAATGATGGGGCTTTTAATATGCAAAAATAAAAATTAATCTAGTTAATACATAAGTAATGGATATTATGAAATTATTAAATGTTTTGGGTTGCCGTATCTTTTAATTTTACTAAAAAGAAACTAGAAACTTAACAAAACTTAATATTAAATTAATTCAAACATTTCTGAACGTGACTGCACTCGAGAAGTAAGCGGAGCTTCGTATTGGTTCGAGAAACACAACACGACTGGGGCAGGGGAACCAACCGCCGCTCGCGCACACGACGTTCACACACCCCGTTTCCGTTCCTTCGATACCTTATTTTTAATTTCTGCATAGGATTCGTTCAGCGCTAAAGTGCCACTATTTATAATAAAGTGTCGGCTGCTCTATGTTCTTCGAAAAAGAAGACGGAGTAGCACCTATACATTTAAATAAAACACTTTTAACGGTTTAAAACGCAAAGTGCACGCGGCCACAGCTTGTTATACAACGAACGTAATATTTGTCTAATTAATATTTTCAGCTCCCCCTTAAAAGAACACCGCTAAATACAGTCGGCCAAACAACTCACGTTCTACTTAACCGAAGAAGACACGTATAGATTAAAGTTTTAAATATATCTTTATTAAAAAAAAATGTAAGTAAATATATGTTTTTATTTTAATATATTGCATATTCAATATGTATGGTCTAGGCCAAAATTATAGGAAGACATATAATCTATATATAATGTTTTTTCTATTACTAATATTTTGATTTAGATCTATGAAGAAATTAACATGTATTGTTCAAAAAGTAATCCTTCTCTTTGATCTTACTGCAGTCTTGCAGTAAATACTTATGTTCATCGTCGACACGACCCCTTTTCAGTAGATATACAAGTATATATTGATAGGGAAACACGGGAACGTTGTGATGGAAGAAAAATCTCAACTTGACTCTTTCAATGATCTTCATATCCACAAAACAATAGTCCGCAGAGCAGCAACTACCCGGTGTCCTGGAAAGGTGATATTATTAGTTTACAAGTATTTATTTTTTCAGTTATAATGTTACTAGCATTATCGTGTCCGTTATTTCTACCAGCATAACACAAGAAACTGTTTAAAACATAAATTAATACTATGTTGTCACAGAAGCCACTGCTGCTGGAACTGATTCAAATCGTCGCATCATAGTTATAGAACTTAACCAATTGATTTGCATTTTAAACCGTTAAGTTTCTTTTAACTTTTACTATTGGCATATATTATCTGACCAGGGTTGGTGTGAGATATTTATAATAGTATTGGGGCTAAAAACAAAAGATAATTTCTTCATATATTTCTATGTAAGATTTACCACCATTGGATGGTGGACTGTATCAGTGTTGTTATGGATTTCCTGACCATAAACGAAACTATCGGATAATCCGAAACAATTTAGTATCCACAACCGTACTTCCGTAACCGAAACCGATATTATATTTTACCATATCCGGATCCGAAATTATATATTCATAACATCCCTGGACTATATACATAAATGAAAATTATATATATTTTCCTTACCTGGGATCATAAGTAAGAGGCTTTGCCTTCAACGTTTTGAATATCATGTGATAATATTGACGATATTTCTTCTTCATAATAAGAACAATTTGTTTGCCCTCGAAAGGGAACTTCTTCGTCTTACTCTGCAGTTCCAAATGCCAATAAACAGCTGCCTTCGCTACTTCAACACTTGTGTTATCGATCTCTACAATTTTGGGATGTTTCAACCATTCGTACATATTTTCCTAAAATTAAAAAGGATTACTTGTGCGACTTAATAAAACTTAATATACCACTTATTAACTAAAATTGAATATACACCCAACTGTTCAAAACGAACCACAGCTACTATTAAAACATTTGGTCGGAGTTAAGTGATATTTTTTATTTATTTACACGAAAAAAATCAAAGTCAAATAAATAGTAAAAGATGGATCACAAACTTATTCAGGTCTTTTCGTCCATTCGAAGGTCGATACATTTTTTATTAAATTAAGTATATGACAATAAATTAGAAGTAGTCGTCCGACCGTGCGATCAGGGTCCTAATATATAAAGCGTTTTAAACCGTTAAAAGTGTATAAATTAATGCAAAATACCTGCAAAAATTTCTTGCATCTAAAGCTATCATATATAAAGCTGATATGTAGCAACCATTTGCCAGTCGATAGGGAGCAAACCATCATACCAGTGAAGGTATCATTGGGTAGCACTGATACAAAGTGGGTTGCCAGCATCTCCATTTTTGTGTTCTCAGCCACGACTCCACCCAGCTCATTTATCATAGCTGTGATTCTATCACGATCCTGAAAGAGCAAGATTTAGACAAATGATTTGAGATTTGAACTTGTTGGTTGGCTTCAACAATTTTTAAAATTTCTGAACCATTTAAAACTTTCATATTTTTCACATTAAAATTCCATTAAGAATTTAAAAAAATGCCGTCTCGGACAGGACCGGTTCCGTGCTCTAACCAATTATTGAGCTACCGAGTCCTACACATCATCGTCCAACTTTTTTCAACCTATAGATACGTGCGCAATGTAATTTCAACCTTAACGCTTGCTTTTTAAGGTTCAGCACGGAATGCAAAAGATGCTGGTTCAAGTCCTTGCCGAGTAGTACATTTTTTCAATTTACTACTACACTTTTCAACTACAATATAACTTATTGCAGTGAAAACGGTTGAATATATATAAAATACACTTACGTGGATAAACTCCGAGAGCATGAATATTTTTTTATCGCAAGCGCATATTAAATTCTGCTTCATTTTCCAAGATTCCTCAGATGTGCCGCTTGGTGACCCGTAGTCGCTATCTGTTGATTATAGAAAATATTGATAATTAATATGACTTGTCTTGAGTAAAAAATTAACAATATTTTATACTTTGGGGCTTCCCCATGCATGGTGATCCCCAGTAGTCTAGTGTAGTTTTGTGGTTAAGTAATAAGCAGCTTGACTAGACTTTAGTGCCCTGCCTAATAAAAACTTAACAATGTTTCGACATGGTATGAACCTGGGATAGCTTGCATACTTTAAAAGATACCCCAAAAACTAGTTTTAGACTCCTCATTATAAACACAAAAAATATAAAAATCTAAAATGATCACCTGAAACTGTTTCCGGAAAAGTTGCCTGGATCGTGCTCACAACCTGTGTCTTTGAGTTCACGATTGGAACATAGCTAGCCTTTTTCTTCTCCTTATAGTTTTGAATAATCTTCCGGAACGGTATATAGACCGCAGTCTTTGCTTTTCCATTTTCAATGAACTTTTTAAAACTCACTTTTTTTGGGGTACTCTGTCTGCTCAATGATCTGAAAAACTCTAACCTTTATATATCTAATTAGAAATAGTATATAAGCGATCAGAGCTTTGTAATTTTATCTTAAAACGGAATATGTTTGACATTGAACCGTAACACACTTAAAATTCAAAATTATATAGCCTCAGGCATGCATGCATAAAGAGTAGAATTTTTTTAGTATAGAGAAGGACAGACAAACGCGATTATACCTCACGGCTTTTTCACCTGTGAATATCCAAATTTCCAGATGAAGTACAATATGTTCCAGAAAAATCATAAATTGACAAATTAGAAACATGTTGGACCAGGAGATTGCACTCATGAGTCCATCACATTTTGATGAACACCAAGTGAGTTTACAGGAGCTTAACTTTTTATTGCGAGTCTAACGAGATGTTATGATCCCATTCATGGTCATAAGTGATGGGTTCCAGGCCCACCTCTGCATGTCATCATATTTGAGATTTAAAATATGTCTAAACACAAAAAACCTCTAACACATATTCGCTTAATCATATCAATGAAGAAAAGAGAATAGCAAAATAAACCCAAAATTATTATAGGCAGAAGTATTGAAATGTAATGTAGGTAATTGTTTTTACTTAAGGTCTATGTTAGTCTTATTCTGGTAAAAAGATGTCCCCACACATGCCAATATTTGGTGCGACTCACTCATTCCCTAGTTTTGCAAAGAAATTTTTAATAGGACTGGAGGTTACCGGTTTCTCATCAACCTTTTTGCACTCAATCTCTTGATAGATATCTTCAATTGACCATCCAATTTGCCTTCTAACTGCTTTAGGTTTACTCGTCTTTTCTATCATTGGAGCAAAATCAACACAATCCACTCCACCATCACTTGTGTTATGTGAAAAACTGCTATAATGACTTATGTTGTGATCAAGATTATCGCCGTCAATATTGCTCAAGTTGTGATCAAGTTTAAAATGTATAACTTTCAAATGCTCCAAATATGCCAATTTTGCAGTAAACAGCTCGTGACAGACAGGACATACAAAGTGATGCAGTTTCACATTGATAGTGCATCTATTCAAATGTACCACGTATTCATCATATTGATCGTACATTTCATCGCAGAGGACACAAGATACTCGCACATACTCAGGTATATCAAAGTTAGAAGGCTGTAGAGGTTCTAACTTTCGATTATTCTGTCTCATATCTGAGGCAACTAATGTCTCATTACTACTAGATCGTTGTAGTTGGTTATTTTCAATTGTGCATGTAACATTACAGGTATGAGCTCCATAATGTCCATATGACTGACTACAGTACACACATTTTATTGATTCCATATCACTATCAGTCTCATCACTGATGGAGTGATAAGAATTTTGTGATAAATCTTTGAAGGCATTATCATCATTATCTCCTTCAGCAGACACATATTCTGAGTGCATAAGAAACTCCTTTTCACAAAAGTCATTATAGTCGGTTGTAGCTGATTTGTCAATTTCTATTTCTGAAATTTATCAATAAATATAATGCATATCATTGTCTTTCAGGCTGTTTGGCCGATGTGAGCGAGAAGAGGTTCTCGACATTTCCCCATCATGTGTGGACGGCATCAACAGGAGATGTTAGCTCCACGATTGCTCGAAGAATTAATCTAGAGCTAACATTTCCTGATGATAAACCTCTTCTCTCTCACATCGGCCGAACAGCCCGAAAGACGATATGCTGAACGATGGCCGTGAAAGCCTTACACAATTTAATAAATATAATGTAAAGCTTATACAAGTTTATTACAACTGTATTGTTTGTTATAAATTATTTGATAAGGGGTATCTCAATACAGACTGGGCATACACAGTACAGCAGAAATTTTCAAATGCTATGAAATTGAAAATACGTCAAGAGTTATAAATGAGTCCCTAAGACCTGACCTGGAAAAGCTCCCAAGTTGTCTATTCGTGTTACATAATGTTAAGAGTATGTAACTCTTCTTGAATGGGTCAAAGGTAAACCTAAAATAACTTGACCCACTCACCTGGATATTTTCGTAATAAGCCATCGATCCGTTCACATTGTTGTTTAAATAAATAAGATGTACTTAAGTTTTCTATGCATGTAGTGCAAACACGGTCCGAAAATCCATCCCCCTCATGTATCTGGGAAATAGTATAGAATAGCAATGTAATTATTGCAGTCCTGCAGATTTTAAATAACAATCTTAAAAACACTATGGTAATACTTTTACCATTTACATACCTTAACATCAGCAAAAGACATAACCATTTCTGATAGTTTAATAGTACCATCTTTTTCAAATATAGAACAGAATTCGCCTATTTTCAAACACAACCTGCACTTGTGAAACATTTTACTATCTAGGGAATGTATTTGGAATGTAACTTGACTGAAACTTACGAACTCTACACCATAATTACTGTGTAAATAATTTAAACTAATAAACGGTAAGACATTTTAAGTACACGCTACTTTAACGGTAAATGCAACCGCTGCAACAACTTTAAACTTATCTTCTTGTTGTGAAATAACTGCCTACAGAATTCCAATGTTATGTATTTTTAAATATTCGTCTTAGTAGTAAGAAAGGTAAGGTTCATTTTCTCTTGCAAGTGCACTGTATACGAGGGAAAACAAGTCTATAGTAATTTTATATATATTCTATATAGAACTGACAATTGACATCTCCATTATTTTTTATAAAACATGAACAAATTTATGCATTTGTTTAAAGGTCTCGTTAACAGGCCATTAAATATTAAAAAAATAGTATGCACAGAGGTATATTAAGCTCTTTCATCTATGTTCATATTAACAAAAATATCCTTAAACCATAGAGTGGGAAAATAATATATTATATATATCGTGAAACGAAGATTGACATTTTTACCATAATATTCATTTTAAATTTAAACATAGTAAATAGTAATTAAAACATATTTTTAAATGGATTCTTACCCAGAACTTCAAACCAACAGTGGTATTTATGACAAAAACTTTCCTAATTTTAGCCGACCTCAAATAATAGGTTATATTGGAATGGAAAATCTAAAATATGCCAGAAATATTGGAAACAAAACGGTAAATTTCGATCTTAATTTACGAGTACGTGAAGCAAAAAGAAAACCATCTGATTTGGACGTAAAATTAGATGATTTGATACATTTCCTACTCAATAATGAGAAGCGGTTAAAATTAGTAGTTCCAAATAAATTGGATTCTGCTAAAATATTTTGTTACCGTGGTTTAATGACATGTATAGCTTGCACGCCATACGAAAATCAAGAGCCATGGAAAATTGTTGCAATACTCTTTAGAGGTGACATATATTTATGTGCAAGATATACAGAGCAAAAAATAGCACAGAAGAAGTGCATGACAGAAAAAGACAAACTTTTTACATCCTGGGGTTACAAGTTTGAACAGTATATGCTATCAGGTAGGTACTGTCTCTGAATGAAAAGTGAAAATAATAATTAAAGTGTGATATTTCATAAATGTATCTAAAGTATTCTATCATAAATAATTATGAGGAAGGATCTGCTTAGTTAAGTATTGTTTGTAATTTATGCAAGTACCGCACCTTTAAATAAAATGCTTATAGCAGACTAGAATGTGAGATATATAAGTCATTATTAAACTTTGTCTAGATGTTTTGGATGCTTTTTATCAGTTGTAATTGGTTTAAACCATTATAAACATGCTGTTAAAATTATTAAGATCTTCTAATATTAGTTTTAATTGTACTTTAGTTAAACCACATTTAGACCCCAATCCAGAAGTTCCTGTAGATGAAACGGAGGAATTCTCATTAGTATTGACAACCAATCTTAACAAACACAATATCATTTATGGAGCAGAAATGGATGGCATACGATGTGATAAGAAAAAGGTTGATGAGGCTCCGGATTCATTTGATGATATTATTAAATATTTATCAGATAAGGAGTTTGTAGAACTTAAAACAAACAGACACATAGAACGTGCAAATCAAGACAGGAATTTCAGGTACATACCTTGAGTTGTGAAATACTGCTTCCCCCTTAGGGCATGGGGAGAACACATATCTGTGTCCATTTCACTGATCAGTTCTTTTACAGTAGTTGATCAGGTTTTGTGCCCCAGGGATTCAAATCCAGGACTTCTCTCATAGGACAGTATTTAATTTTTTTTATTCATGATTTATTATTTGTTTTTTAAATAAATGTATAACAATAATTTGTTACAATTGTAACAATTAAAAGTATAATAATAGTTGACATTCTTTTCAGACGGTTTAAAGCCAAAAAGTGGTGGTGCCAATCATTTTTAGTCGGAATCGAAACTATTGTATGTGGTTTCAGAAATGATGATGGTATTGTAGAAGAGTTGAAGGTCTTTAATGTTTCAGATCTGCCAAAAATGTCGAGGGTAAGATTTCTGAATGAAAATTATAATCAATTTAATTGAGTCTTAATGACATGAAAGATTTAATGATTTTTCAGTTCATAGTGAAATTCCATTTCTCTGTTCGTTTCACTGGTAAATATTATTTAAGTAGTTTGGTCACACTTCTGTGCGTAATATTAACCAATGAAAACATTTGGTCAAGTCAAGGACCTTATTATTGATATGAATGCTGGTATTAAATGTAAATATAGAGTCTTTAGTTTTTAACTGGTGACGTTCATGAGTGTACCTAGTTACATGTTTAATTTTTTTCGACTTTCAGAATTTCTGGGACCCAAAAGTCTGCTTCAACTTCTTGGACACTTTTTTTACTTTTGTCAAAAGGTGTTTAGTCAGACACATCAAGATTAAACATGGAGAGTCTTCATTAAATAATTTACAAACTTTACCCCTTGTGAGTTTAGTTTTCGAATGGAGTCCAGGTTCTCCTGTAAAAGTCTCGCCTGATTGTAATCATGACGAGGATCCAATTCTACCAGAATACTTTCTTAAAACATTTGGAAAATGTGAAAGGTGATATGTCTAGAATACAGTACCTTAGTTAAGATAAAACTAATGAAAAATACTAAATGGAAAATAGAAAATCTTTTCAATATACCATTTATTATCACTGCATAGCAAATGGTGTAAATCAACATCCATAATACTAATCAACAACATGGATATTCTTCACTTAAAAGTACACATTTAATTCCTTATAGTACATTTACTGATAAAAGTATCTAATAAAAACAATAATATTAACGAAACAACATAATAATGAACAATGTCATGAAGTCAATTACAATAAAATGTAGTTTAATATTTACATTATTAACAGAAATATAACAATAATTAATAATATTCCTGATAAATGTACAGATTTGATATTATTGTGTCGATGATTTTTATTCGCAAATCTGTTAAACAGAAGTCTATTTGAAAAGCTTTTCACTCGGATTTACATTCGAGTGAAAAGCGTCTACAAAAACTATAGTAAATATGTATAAAGGTGATTGTAGATTTGTCTGGAAAGTACACACAGCATTTTAAAAAAAAGATAACCTTTTAGCATTCAATACTCATTTGCAGATATATATCTTTAAAGTAAATCATTTCAATTGCGTACGCATTTGTTTTCTTAATGCAGTTTAAATTTTTATTTCATATAGAAGTGAACAAAATCAACATAATAGATAGTTTTAATTTGGTTGTATGTCATACATACAAAAGGATAAATATTTTGCTGTGTCACACGTGACGGACCACGTGGGCATGTGACGCGTTTAACATTTCATGTTATCTGAACTTTTAATAGTATCATATAAAAAATTAACTGCGTTTAAAACATCAAAGTTTAAACTTAATATTATGTTTAATGTCATTTATACTGATGCTTAACAAAAACGGTTCTAAAAACAATTTTAGTTGCTTTCTAGTCATATTTTGAAAGCAGACCTAAGAATCGTACCACCAAGCGGTTTATCGCTGTCAAAAACATCAGAAACGTGTATGAACATCATATACCTATAGATGTAATGCTAAACTTCAACAGTAGAAACATTGTTATTTCTGCGTGAAGAACAAGGATAGAGTGTATAATCTTTGTCCTTGTCCCCCTTACCAGATTTCAGTCGTGCAAAAATCAATCATTTTATGATAGAGATAATTACGTAAAGATTATGGTGGGGTGTATTGTTTTAGGCTGTAAAAGCCACAGTGAGCAAATAAAACTATATTTGTCTCATTTATAGCCAGGGCAAGACTAGATCTGTAGGTATATGATTAATGTATATAAATTAAACCGCGATATATTCAAAAGTTACAAGACGTTTCGGATGATCCGAAACGTCGTGGTCACGGAGAGACTAAATATGGAGGGTGTCTCTGACGTCAAAAGAAAAACTGCTACGCTAGCGTCATCTGTTCCGTAGGAAGTTGGTATCTGGCGAATTTGGACGGTCAAATAAATTTAACTAATACATATTGCGTTTTAAACCGTTGCCGTTTCTTATTTAAATATGTACTACTCACGTAAACATACAGTATGTAAGGCAGATAAAGTTACTAACATGCGACCGCCGCACAATCGCTGCGGTTATGCCGATAAACCGCTCGGTGTGTATTAACCGTTACAATGAATTTCGATTCATTTCTCAAACTCAAAGGCCATTGAAGGCATATTCTATTAATTAGGTACTTCGATTTTTCATAACTTCTAAAGTCATATAATAAGTGACAACTTAACGGTCTCTATAAAAAATAATATTGTACTTAACACTAAACTATTTACAAACACTTAACGATACGTCGTTACCACGTAACGAATCCGCTTACACTGAGTTCACTTCGTTATATAAAATACTAGAATAGAAGGTACTGTACTGATTATTCTATAGATTTCATATATTACAGTATTGCGATTAATTCTCGTGGTCAAAGTTTTAGATACATTCGTTCGCAGTCTTCAGATTTACTTACACTTACAGTAATTGTAAATCCCTGTTCTATCAGTGTATCATTTGTACTAGCAACAATAAAGTTCGACTACTAAGCTTGTTAGTAAGAATTAGGCACGATTTGTAAGGAATTATCTATCTGTGTCGAATTGTGTACAAATTATTCATAGAAAAATGTTGGCAATATATAAATTTACACAGAAGACTCATCGAAGCCACCGCTTGACGTTACAGAGATTACAGTTAGATGTTTCCAGTACTATGTAACCGTTAAACACTTTTCGACGGTTTAAATCGCGAAATATTTTAGCTACATGGTTTTAAGAACGAGCTGCAACCGTGGCCACTGGCTGGATCCGTTAATATTCTTGCTAAAATTAAACTGTTTATTTCGCGTTTTAAACCGTAGAAAAGTGTTTCATTTAATGTGTACCTCTCGCGTAAATTACGGACAATACTTATGTAACAGCTGATAAACTTTTTTTTAAACGCATATATCTTTTAAAGTGTTAGTAATTATTTTATAACAGTTGAGTAATAAACAAATAAATTGCAATACAAAACAAAAAGAGATTTCCACGACGTCGTGAAAATTATTTTCCTGATATATACAGCATAACAAGAACCAATAATAAATTATGGGCTACTTTTAAGCTCAGGCGGTTTTTAGCCGAATGTAACATTATTGCCACATCAAATGTGACCAAGTCAAATTTTTCTCAGAGTAAAACTCTTACGCATAATAAAATATATTAAATCTTTGTGCTAACTTACGATAAATTCATTTGAATAAACTATCTACACGTATCGAGAATTCGATTTAGTACTCGAAGGGTGCTTGGCACGCCCGTCGCTTAAAATATTACACCGCTCGACTTTAAAACTACTTGTCGCGGATGTATTCATACAAAATGTTCGATGCTTCCGTGAAATATTTTGCAAAATGGTCTTATTTATATCGTTTAGGCACATGCTGTTTGGATTTTGTTTACTTCCGTTTGGACCCAATGAAGAAACTATATAACTCGCTCGTTGGTTCTGCAGTTTAATATTACACTCGATCGAATAACGACCGAATGAAATATGCGGGTAGTTCAATTCGTAATAGTAAAATTACTGAATTCGATCCTTAGAATAATTAAAGTATTAACTTCGCATTGACTCGTTCAGTGGGAGTGCGGGATGTAATCGACTTTACACTAGCCTTCACTGAAGGCATTCTTAAACATTGTACATCCAAATATGCCATTTGGGCGTAAAAAGTGTACAAATCTAATTTTATATAACTAACTACAGGTCGACGTATGGAGCTCCATCTATTTTGTCTAAATCAGCTAGGAGGTCGGCCGCCGGCGTCAACGGGTCCAGAATATCCTCTCGCAACACGTCGAGAGGTGAGGTGAGACCCTGCTCGTTGTCCACGAGCGGTCTCACTTGGCTCGTGCCGCAGATTTCAACAGAATTGCCGTTGATGAGAAAATCTCGATTGCTGTAACTGAAGATACTTCTATCTTCGGCCAACTGAGGCGTCGACGGCACGGATTTGGACGATATGCCGTTCGACATATTGGTGTAGGTGTCCGCTGCGAACAGCTCCCTCGAGCGGCGCGAGTCGATTTGTAGATTTGGAAGCACACGTTTGAAGGGCAGCGGCGTGCTCGGAACGGACCGGGACGTGTAATATTTACTTTTGTCCGTCTCCAATTCGGATATATGAAACTCTATACTGTTCGTTCGTTTGAGGAACTCCTCCACGTTCTCGCTCGACGAGTCGTTCGCGAACGTTTCCGGGAACTGGCCGTTTCTATCTAGTAGCTCGCTACCCGTCGGTATAAACGTGCTCAAATGTTCGTCCGTCAGCATCGGTTGATTTGACAACGTGTCACATCCGTTAGTCAGCGGATTATTCGAATTCAAAAGACTCGTCGTCGTGCCCGCATTGAGGACTTCGTTACTGCTATCTATGGCGTCGTAAATCTTATCCAGCGTTTCGGGATTGAGGCCCGCTTTGGATATGTCGCAGTCGGCTAAAGAACCAAAGTCGCAAAACTCGTTGGGTACAGGGGTAGGCGGCACCGAACCGACCGGAGTGTTGTTGTAGCTGAGTAACGTCATATTATTGATAGCTTGTTTCAGCGGGACCGATTGAGATCGAAACGTCGTGTCGTGGCTGGGTCGGTAATTGGGCATCGGCTCTTGGAAGAACTGACTCACCTCGCTCGACAGCGGATCCGCCGAGAGAGGCTGAGCGCTGTCGCCGTTGACGTTATCGCGAAAGGAATTAGCTGAGAAGAGACACATGTTGTTGATGCCGTTGGGGATCCCGGAATTCTGAAGCGCTTGGTACTTGTAGTGCGACAGGATATTGGGCGACGGCGGTGCCGACATGGGCTGACAGTATTTTATACTCGTATTGCACGACGTCTTTGTGACGAATTTTTGGTCATTTGGAATAGCGAACGGTCTATTATTGTTGGAGCAGTGATCGGCCATGCCCAACGTCAACGGATTCCGCCTCTTTCGCCCGGTGAGTTTCGGTATAGGCCTCGAACACAGCCGCGATCTGGGCACCGGTGTGTTCCGCGGGCTGACGAACGGGCTGGCCGCGGTGCTATGCGACACCGGAGAGGTCTGCAGCGACCCGGTCATGATGCCCGGCTTGGACGCTTTGGTCGGGCTGTTGATGCGCTGACCGAACCCTAATGGGGATTTCGAATTGAAATTCCTCGGCGAATGACACCCGTCCGATATGGGCACGAAGTCGTACTGTTGTGTCCTGGTGGTGGGGCTCTGCGGCTCATTGTTGCAGTTGCCGTTATACAGATGCGGTCCGACACCGCTGATCAGTTGTGATGGATTGTCACAATTATAGGTTGCCGAACTATCGTTACCGTTCGTCATTGCGTTACACTGTTTATTGGAAATCTCATTCTGCATGGCAAAATTTGAATCGTTGGTCGAGTTCTCTAAACTAATGACAGGCTTGAAGGCCCCCTCTGCGTCCGCTATTTTGTTCTCTTGACTGTAGGATTCGACAGAAACTTCCTGATCCAAATTAGCCGACATCGTGGGCGGGTTAGTTCCGCTGGGATTTTTTAAATTCTTCGCTAACAATTCCCGTAACTGCGATATCTTCTCGTTCTTTCCTTGACTGTGCTCGTCGTGGGTGTCTTGACTAGTTTCTAAAAAAGCGGACGAATTTCCCGCCGCGTTGGCGTTTGGCGGTGCGTCCTTGTCCGTGTCCTTCGGGTGAAAATACTTCAAGAGCTCCTCTTCGTGCTCTTGGCTGTTGTTCTCGTTGAGGTAGTCGTCGAGGGCGTGTTTGTCGATGTTGCAAATGCTGATCACTCGCTCCCGATTCAGTATCTCGGAATGCTTCTCCCCGCATATCATGCCGGTTTTGATATTGATGCCGTCGATGCCGCAGCACGAGTCGGAGGCGGGCCCCTGGAGGGGGTCCGGGGGCGCGGGGCTCGCGGCTCGGCCGCAATGCTTCCGCCCGGCGCGCTCGCATTTAGCCGCCTGAGCCTTCACCGCGCGCGTCGGACTCGCCGCCTCCTGTTCCTCCCGGGCCAGCGCCGCGGCGGTGCTTTTGGACCGGCTCGGTAAGTTTTTTGGATCCTCTAAAAAAGCAACCTCAGAACGGAGAGACGGGTCAAAACTAGCAGTGCTGGAGGTGGCCTGATCCGGGCCCGGTGCGGTCTGCCTCGATGCGCTCACCTTGCCGCCGAGGATTTCGGCAGCGCGCATCTTTTTTGGCAGATAGGTCTCGGTGTGTGAACGCGGCGAGCTCGCTTGGGTTTCGCTTTGGTATGTTTCAAGGATGAGTTTCTTTCCGGGGAGGGGGAGGCGATGCGTCTGCGGGTCGGGAGGTCGCCGTCGCTGCCATTCCGTTCTTTCGGTGGAAAGATCGAGAGACGCGTCGGTGCTAAGATTGATAGGAAGGTTATGCGCAGTGTCCTCCCGCGGGACGTACGGCGGCTCAAAGACATAAGGGTCGGGACGGTATTCGTGTATGGCGAGAGGGTGGGGCACGGGCGAGACGTGTGGGGGGTGGGCTCTGGGCGGTGCCGCGTATGGGAACGGCGGTCGCACATCGTACACGGGTACGTACGGCTGCTGGTATGCGTAGCTCGCCTCCGGGATCATCTCACTCTCGTGTTTCACTGGCGGGTGCTGGCTGGCCATGTATGAGGTAGATGGCGGCGATTCTACGATTATATCTTGACCTTTGTTTTTCTTTGGTCGTCCGGGAGTACCCTGCCAAAAGCATTATTATTTGAGTACCAAAATACAAACAAACACATTTTAATTCGTCGAAAAGGTTTATACTGACAAACTCAGTGCATCAACTTGGTTTAAACTAACATTTAATTAAGAACAGCTAATAATAATAATTTAATTACCTGTAATTTCCGCTTCAGTTGCTTAAGTAATTGTGGACCAGAAGACTCTTCATTTGGTACTGAAAAAATGTAAAAGCTCAAATATTATCTCTAGTTTACACGAGTAGTATATACTTAAAGTCACTTTGACAGTTTAAAACATGGAGTAATTTGTTAAACGTATTTTAAGTATGGCCAGACGTTACGGATGCTTTGCAGCAGCAGCATATAAAAGCTCAATTAAAAATTGTACAGATAGGAATTCTTGATTAACAAAATTTTTTTACTTATTTTTCATGATGATTTCGAAAATATCGTCATGAAATTACGTCTATGTTGGCAATAAGAATATGCCACTAATATTTTAACGCTTTTGCCTTACCGTGCTTGCATGCTTAATTTTTTATTCTATATACATTTAGACAAAATAAAGTTATGAACCCATGTTTTTTTTTAAATATCAAGATATAATTAGCAGAACATTATTAAATAAGATTATTAATCATCTATAGATCCAGTGGTATCGGGTAAGCATATAAAGACGCGGGTACAATGTACCTACATACAGAACCATTATAATAATGGTAAAAGACAGGAATAATTACCTAGGACCGACATCGGCGGTGGCGAAGCACTTGATGGTCCGGGTGGGGCTCGCTGTGCGCTCAGCGATGCCAAGTGTCGTGAAAGCTCAATTATGCTGTTGAACTTCACACCTGTAACACAACAGAATAATGATTCCCAAAGTGGTCTACATCGATCCCTAGAGCTTGTCAGCAAAAAAAATTGGGGTTCCATGTAATGAAAATTTTCATTTTGAGTAAATTTAAATTCAATTATTAAATGTATAAATTAACATTTGTTTTTACTTAAGGTTTTAACACTTCAGTACAGTTTAAAATTTACAGGAAATCAATATCAGGTAAGTACGGTGTCTACCCAACACGGAAATACATCGCAAGGGGTCTACGACACAAAAAAGTTTGGGGAACTCTGGTCTAATGGCAATGTATGGCTAATAATCAACGGGCCCTGGGTTCGGTCCCGACCGAGTCCCGGTCAAGTCCAGTCCGGGGTCATGTTTGTAATTTTTCTATTTATAATTTTTGTTGTGCATCATCTGGAGATCTGGATATTAGGTAAGCGGTAGGAATACCGAAGATTCCGTATCACGAACCACCGTCCACAGATGAAAAGGCCGTGAAGTTTAATCGCGTTTCTATAAAGGATTATAATAAAGACCTTTACCTAGTTTAGTTTCCGCCCAATCACATATTATTCTTTCATTCTCCCTAGACCCCACATGTCCTTCCTGGAAAAGAAGAGTTTGTAGGCTTAAGATTAATAAAATCGTTATATGAAAAGCCTGAACTTAAATGCTAACCAAAAATTTCAAAAGCTTATATCAAAATCCAAAATGTTTACCTTGGATGCCTCCCCCAAATCTGGTAGTTGAGGAACTTCCAGTTTCACCTTTTTTCGTAGGCCAGCATAGCAATACCTTAAAGGAAAAATTGATTAAATTGAAGAGATGGCACTCAACATTCGCGAACTCTAAGAACAACATAATGTTAACTACAGGGGGCAAACAAATTTCATTCCTTTAAAGCTAGCACCGAGTGACCGGAAAGTTATCTTTTGTAAGTTTTTTCTTAGGAGCTGTAAATTATCTTAACTTATCTCTGAAGGCTTTCCTTCAATCAAGTGAAAAAGTTTATTAAATAATCTTTAAGTATGTCATTGAGGGGCCACTGTAAATCAGTGTTGTAACGCAAGCGTGTTTGAAAAGTTATGCCGAGTGGCTCCAGTCTTAGATGTTGACATCGTAAATTTTTGAAGCTATAGTATATTTATATAATTTAAGTATAGTTCAGTTGATTTGGTTAGAATATATTTTTTATTATTATTATTATCATTGCTTACCTCGAGTTTCCTCTGGTACCGAGCCGTCTCGGTCGTACACTTGGATAAACCTGCTTCATAACTTTGCCAAAATCGGCCGTGGAAAGAGGCTTCATGTTGCTACTCATGCAATGAGCGCTGTGGACAGATGTTGTACATTATACAAGAGCTGTTTGATAATTGTCTTAATGTTAAGGGAGGAAAGATGAGGTTCGTTTGATAATAGGAATGTGTTGCCGATCTATTTTGGTTGTGGATATGCGGAAATCCACTGACTGCAACCGAAACGCGATTAAGCTTCACGGCTTTTTCATCTATGGATGGTGGGTCGTGACCCAAATTTCTATAATCGTCGATTCAGCCGTTCGGTGTCCACTGCTGGACATAGGCCTCCCCCTTGGACTTCCAGTACGACCGGTCGTTCGCTAGTTGATTTCAGCGTCTATATGACTATGACCCATTCAATATCCAGATTTCCAGACGAAATCCAACACGTTTCAGAACAATTAAATGAAAAAAATTAAATTCACAAAGAGAATAACAATAGCATGTATTTTATTTTATATGAACGGTCTTGGGATCGAATTCCCGGAGTAACATAATGCGCAATTCTATCGGATTTAAATATTATTCAGTGAAATAGATCTCTTTATGTCAGGGGAACAGACAAATGTGGGGTTCCCTTGAGGGGAGCTGAAATATCAATATAGGCAATTGTCGTATTTTGGCTATGACCATTCGGAAATCCACAGACTGTAATCCACGCGAATACACTTCAGCTTCGGCTTCTTCATCTGCGGACGCGACCCGGAAATATATTCGATATTCCTTTCAACTATTTTATATTATACACACAGATTTTGAAGACGAATTCAAACGTATCTCATAAAAATTATTTCTTGCTGGACCCGTTCGCGAAAGAATCCACGACCCACTGATGATTATACTTTGCTACCATTAGACCAACAAGTCCGTAAAAAACGAAGACCCAGTATTGTCCCACGTCCACCGTAATCAAAGGCGGTTCCAGTTTTAGCACCAGGAGGGAGTCACATAATCGTGATCAAGTCAAGAACTTTTAATTAAATTTGGATAACAAAAGTTACAAGTAAAAAGTAGGTATTTTATTAATTGTTAAAGAATTTAACATATAATAATATATAAATAATTGAAATAAAACACTTTAACGGTTTAAAACGCGATATATTAGTTAAACTTATTTGAAATTGATTTTTAACTTCGGCCCGACGTTTCGGATGCTTTGCAGCAGCCGTGGGTGTCTCCCCATGACCACGGCTCCGCCGCCGTGACTCGACCGTCGATCGATCGCTTGACGCTTTAAAAGGTGGTGTGATTTTTTTTTTCTGGTCTATTGGTAATCAATCCATATACCTGCTGATCACTTCATCCAACTCCCCATTTCCCATTTTGCCATAGATAAGAAATAAAAAATCGAGCCTCCGAATATGATTAGCACTAAGTCATTGTTTGATAATTTTCAGTGGTTAAAATGATAAACCGTTCTTATGCCCTTCAAAAGTCGTAGCCAAAAGATTTTTCGTAAAAACGATAACATTAAAACTCAGATAAGATGACCGAATCTTATCAGTGCTGTAATATCGCACAATAGCTATTATCTCATCAGGAAGCAGCGATGTTTAGAACTATTAACCGAAAATTCCAGGATTATTATTTGAAATTCCTATTTAGTGGATTATAATACGAATCTTTAAAGACAGGGTACTGACTTAAACGCTCAAATGGGTCAATACCCAGCTTAAGACTATAAATTATTGTAACACATCATTGATAACGTATCCATCGAATTTAGTTTTGTCCGCGAGGAAGTTTAACGGTTTAAACGCGAAATGTATTAGTTAAACTTATTTTTTATTTTGTCTCCCGTATCGACGGCTGCTGCAAAAGTCGAGTACACATTTAAATAAAACCTTTTAAACGGTTTAAAAAGCGAAATATATTAGTTCAACTTATTTTTTATTTTGTCACCTCATGTCACAAATAAATCGAATATAAGTTTGACTATTATATTTCGCGTTTTAACCAGTTAAGACTTTTATTTAATTATGTCTAACCGCATTTTACAAAACAGCCCGTGTAAGTCAAAGATAGGGGAAACATTATAAAATTTAGATCATTAAATTATAACGCACAATTAATATCGTCTGGAAATTGATGTAACATGAGGGATTGTTATCTGTTTCGTTACGTAAAAAATATTGATAAGACCACGTGTTATTGCCCTACTCTTGTTAACATATAAGTTAGGTATAATACATTTACGCACACGTTATCTAGATTTTACTGCACTTTACATCCGCTACATGTTTTCCTCGCACTATTGGTCAACTTTCCTACTTTCTTACATTTACAGTTTGAATGAAGCGACGAGCGCGTCCTAACTTTGAATTCCCACCCAGGATTAGTTTACAACAAAACGGGGGAAATTTTTCATCTCTTTGGGTTTCAGATGCGTACGCGGCGAAAACGGTTACAGACACCTAAAAATATGTATGAAAGAATGATTTCTCTTTAAATGATCTAAAAAATGTTCGCGGCACTTGCACTTTTATTACAAAACGAAGACTAACTCTCAAACGTGGTTTAAACCATGGTTTACTTGAAATCCTTATTACAAAACGAAGTTCCCGTTGGTACTACCTTAGGACATGGTTTAAGACTTAGACCAAGACTTCACAGTCCTGGTTTAAGTTTATTTTTGTAATAAGACCGTATATGTCTATCTTTTAAGATTAACTTGCAAGAGCGACGGGACCCGAACGACGGGTTTCGAGCGACGGGACGCGACCGATGTCATGGGCAGATTAAATTTATAAAGCTGTTAACCACGACGTCGTTCACGTCCCGTCGTTCTTGCAAGTTAATCTTAATAGATAGACATTTTTTTGATTATTTAAAGAGAAACCAATTTTAATTTAAAAATCGAAAATAAATTGAAAAAATTTTTTCGACTCGGGCAGGACTTGAACCGGCATCGTCAGCTTTCCGTGCTGTTGCTCTACCAATTGAGCTACCGAGTCCTCGGACTCGGTAGCTCAATTGAAAATAACTCATAATAGCTCAATAGAAAATTTTTTCAATTTATTTTCGATTTTTAAATTATATAGTGCCTTCATGTGCAATAACATGTGAAAAATATTAATGTTTTCAAAGAAACCAATTTTCATACATATTTTCTCGCTATCTTAGACGGAAACTCTCAAAAAGTCAAAATTTTCAACACGAACCAGTAGTTCCTGAGATTAGCGCGTTCAAACAAGCAAACTCTTCAGCTGTATATGTTAGTATAGATATTAATCTTTCTATTATTACGCCATCTAACGTACGAGCAAGGTCCCTGGGCTCCCAGACCTTACCCTTCGACCGGATCGAAGATATATAATAGCACCTGATACCTGAGAATTTGCCGCCTACGCATACGTCAGTTATGAATAGAATACAGTACGTATATATAATAAGACAAATGTAATAAGTACATATCTATCAGGAAGTAGTTAAGACTAGGAATTTTGGATAATTAGTCTTTGTTGGTCTTTACTGTATACATGTGCTAACATCAACTTATAAAAGTTTTCTCGTCATAAACTACGATTATATTATATATTATAAGACACTGAGAGACCGTAAAGGTCCGCACACAGGCCACTAGCCACAAATATAAAACGCCGTCCGTTTTTGTCTTGTAATTTTTACACTATTTTTAAGTATTCATAACGCGCTCGTTGGTGTAATGTGTAGCTAATAATCGAAGGGTCGTGAGTTCAATATCCCCAAGGAACATTTTTCTATTAATTTACAATTCTTCTGAAACACGTAGTACTGGGTTTGGACATCTGGAAAATAAATGGGTGGTGGGTCGAAATTTAATACGGGACACGAACAACCGTCCCCAGATCTAAACTTTACGTTTAGTCGCGTTTCGGATTCAGTCTGTGGATTTACGAATATCCGTCAGTTAGCGGCGTTTTATGGCCGTATCAAATGGTCTGTGTGCGAGGACCCTAAACAATTAATAATTCTAATTATCCATATGTAAGTACATAGTTGTACAGACGTACTTACAACACCGAGACAATTAATATTAAAGCTACACGTGTTGATCGTTAGAAGTGATTGACATAAAATTTTATATATAGGTATATATACAGTGTAATTGTAAATTGTAACACAATAATAATTAAACACCAATTTATCTCACGCGATCGATTATAACCTATTAGGAATAATTCAGAAATTGTTTCGAAATGGGGAACTCTTATTAAATTTAAAAGTATTTGCATTAAATATATATGTGGGCATATATATCTCCGATAGTTCATGCGTCATCCAATAGAATGATAATAACACAATCTAAATAGATACTCAAACCTAGTGCAAGTTTGACCAGCGCATAAACGGATTATCTTCAAAAAAATGATAGATGAGAGATAGAGCCTTTTGTAAAATCTTTGGGATAATACAGAGTAAGGAAAAACTAAAAAAAAAACTTACATATATTCATCATATACATCCTGTTTCGGAAGGGAAACGTCTGGATCAACTTCCAGGTGTGTTTGTATCCATGTGACTGTTTGTTGGAGCTCAGCTCTGCAAAGTTGAGTTCTATATTCAAATATATATTAGACATATAATAGGGATAGCGACAGGGGTAACAAATTATAAGATTAGTAGTTTTATAGACTATATCAATGGCTGTGTGTGATTATCATTTGAATTTTATATAGTTCAGTACAATGAATAAGTGTAAGACAAAGTAGGTATGGATTATCTAATAATAGCAGCGTACTTTTAGAACAAGATCTAGAAAATACAATTGGAAATGATTGCAAATTTAAATATAAAGGTGCATTTTTTTTTTAAATAGGACAATGAAATAAAAAAGAGAAAGTTTTCTTTACACATTTTAAAAAATTAAGTTTTACTAGTCTGTTCCAAACAAAGCTTTATAGGGCTGCTTGATAAACATTTGAAATAACAATAATCATCACCTTGAACCTAATGGATTTACAGGCTGTTTTAAGGGGTCATGAGGTGGAACACCAGTGGGAAGACGGAGATAGAGCAGCAGTCTCTCAGCACCACTAAGAGCTTCCACTGCCTCTAATAACTGAGACACCCTTTGTTTTCCTTCTTGACTGTAAAATTTTAACGATATTAACATATATAAATATTAATAACTTAACTTTAGGTCTGGATGGACTCTTTATGTAGTGACAAAACATATTGGCATTATTCAGAAAAAGGATTTGGTTTTAACTCGGGTACTACTTGAATGTACATAGATTGGTCTCTCAAGCAGATACAATAATATATCTGCTTAAGGGCTAGTAAAAAAAAAACTAAAGCCCTAAATATAAACTTTTTGCAAAATATGATGATAATTTTAGCATAAACGTTGCACAATGTATGTTATATTACTATACATGGAGACGTGATAATAATTATGTATAAATACAAAGTGTAATAACAAAACCACTACTTAGGATTCTTCTTAGAATCTAACCAAGCATTCAAACACTAGTCTTAAAACTATTAAATAATTATTTATTGTAGTGTTATTGTAAGTAATGTAACCATTTTAAACACAAAATTCCATTCCTGCTTGTTATAATATTTGTATAAACAATGCTACAGTGAGTAACGGTAACTCAATACACAAGTTATTTGTTACAAGATGTTTCCGTTGATTTGAACAAATAAAAAATAGGAACCATCTCTAATTATCATTTATACCAAATACATCCCTGATATAGAAATTCATTACCTTATAGTGTTTTCAACGATTTGTTGCATGGACGAAATTTTTCCAGAATCCATTTTTGACTCCTTCCCGATGGCCGGGTCCGAGCCCGTCTCCGACGAACCCGATGGTCCCGGATTATTACTTGAAGCAACGATAGTCTCTTTATCGTAAGACGCAGTTTGCCTGTGTTTTGGATGATTGACATTTTCCCGATGAAGTTTCGCGTCATCGGCTAATTCCTTTTCTGATTTTACATTTTTAGAACTTTCTTCTACTGTCCACGGCTGAAATGGAGCCGTGTTCTCCATTCTAACCACGGCGAGCCTCGCGAATTGAAATATACAACTTCATATTTTAATTATTAATTAGAAGCGTAACAATACTCCATATTCTTATAGAATTTTTGACAAATTGTGGATGCTCTCTGTTGACTGTTCACAAATCAAAATTGAATCTGACAGTTGAACGAATGATGTTAAATCAGCTGTGCGATAGTAGTCTGTAAAAGTGATAGGCATAGATGATATATATAGACCACAGATTAACCATTTTTGTCTTTAAGAACTCGACATAGAGATACTTCATACTTGGTACTATTCTTCTTCTTCGTTATTCAACTTAACCTAGTAGTTTTTTCTCTCATGTGGGATTTGTTATCGTCGTGTATCTAAGACTAAGTTCGCAAAACAAAACTGTAGTCTAGGATTATTGGAAATTGAAAATATATTTATTCCAAGATGATTGCAAAATTGATTTATAAACAGTTTTGCATATAGCGTAGTGTTATTGCATATCTATGTTTGTGATGGAAGACGCATACCGCAGTGATTGACGTCTTGCTGTATCTGCGGTGGCTATAATATAGATAATAAATTACCTGAATACTTATTTGCAATCATGTTTTTTTGTATTATTATTAGTGAAAACTGAAAATATATTATGATTCAAAAATGTGTTAATTTTGTTTAGTACGTTTAGACTTAAACGTTAATCTTACAAAATGAGTTATTAACAATATTCTTATTTACAGTGAGTTAAAGTTTCATATAAGATAAAAGCAAATAAAACGCTCATTTTTAGTTGTGGTTCATAATAATCATATTTTATTTTAACCAGACATGCGATGGATTCCGATATTGATATCGAAGAACATAATTTACTTGACAATCCAGCGCTTCGAGCAATCTTTCCAGATATCACTGTTCTTAAGCAGGAAATATTTGAAATAAACAACGAAGATGATCAAAATTTTCAAGATGGTTAGTATTTTATAAATTTTTAAAATTACTTTAATTTGTGGCAATCTTCTGAATTTACATCAATTTATGAACTTTAAGTTGTAATGTTCATGTTTCAGAGAATCCTAATATTGGTGTTGAAGGATGTGCTCTTTATTCAAATGAATCAAATAATTTGGCTTCAAAGTCCTTAAAACTACCTGATAAAATATGTTCCGTTGTACCTAAGACATTTGGGTTTGTCAACAAAAACATACCACATACAATAAGTTCTCAAACAGAGAATAACAATAACTTTACAACTAAAAATATAATTGATTCTACTAAAAAACATACATTTGATAATCATTGTTTAAGGAATGATAATTATTTAACAAGAGCAAAAGTTGTGTTGTCAGATGTTACACCAATGTTGAAAAGATGTGAAAAATTCTGCAACATATGCTCAATTCTTTTTCCTAACAAAAATACCCTCCAGAAACATACCCACAGGTCTCATAGTGAGATATGCACTTGCAAGCAATGTAAGAAGAATTTAAATAAGACCAGTAATTTTAGTGACCATAGGAAAAATATTTACAGAGGCATAATTGAACATAGAAATGGCTCTACAATTACTAAGAAAACTATTAAAAGGAATAATCGCGTTATAAAGACTTCAAAGAAAAACAAAGCTGAGTTGATATCATGCTTTCATTGCCAGAAAATTTTTTCATCAAAACAACTACTAATTCAGCATTTGTATTTCACTCTAGAGCCACAATTTATTGAAAACTTGAACAGGGATAGAACTAAGAAAGATTCTAATAAGAACTTGGATGTTGAACCTCCACGAGTCTCGGAATTACCAGCAATACCTAATAAGCAGCAAGAAAACTTAGTTGTTAATTCTATACCCAAGCAAACTACAGACAAACATGTTATGAAAAACATTAAAGAAAATACATTGGTTCAAAAGAGTAAACGGAAAGAAACTTCACTATTCTTTAAATGTTTTGTATGTTTACGTTACTTTAAAGAGTGCGCTCGCTATAAGTATCATATTAAATGGGAGCACAAAATAAAAACAAAATTTTCATTGAAAATGGTGGAGTTTAATCCCAAATGTGATTTATGTTCCCGCCTTTGTAGGAATGTTAAGTTGTACAATATCCATATAGGTAATCACATGAATACCTCGGTAGTGGAAAGAAGAAATCTCAAAAGAAAGTTAAAAATCAATATGCTTACAAATAAGAAAAGGTCAAATATAATAATACCCAAAGATATAGTTTTCAAATGTGGGGAATGTAATTTTTACTTTATATCTCCAACTCTGGCTACTAACCATACGCAACACTGCGAAATAACTATTCTTTGGAAATGTAGAAAATGTCAGTTCATATTCAAGAGGAATGAAGCATATTCTCATATAAAACAACATGCACAGACGGAAAAGTTCAATGTTGTAAATGTTAGTCATAAGACATCGCCTGAATTGTTATATTGCTGTCCGAAGTGTAAAATCTGCTTTCAAGAACGAAAAATTAAAGAACATTATCTAACTTGTAAAACTACTGAAAACTCAGTACATTGTAAAATATGTGATATTTATATAGATCAAGAATTGAAAGAAAGCCACGCTTATCTTCATGATAAGGGTAGAAAGAATAGTACAGACTTCCTCATTGTACAATTAACTCAAACTTTGAAAGAAAAACAAAGTTCCACATGCGGGAAATTGAATGGCGATATTTTTGTACAAAACTTGCATTTGTATTTCTGTAAAACATGTCAGAATTTTGTCAGTACTGTCCACAAAGTGAGCATTCATCAGAAGGCTCGGTGCACTCACATGTTAAGAATGCCATGTCGATATTGTGGATTGCCATTCACAAATAAAGCCATAATGACACACAGAAGTATGCATTACAATGATCGAACATTGAAACTTCAAGATTTTACCTTTTATGATTTGGATTCTAACAAAGAAATTTGCCCTCCAATTATTGAGTTTATTAAATGTGACAGCTGCAACGTACACTATTTCAATCAAGTAGCACTAAAGTCCCATATCTGTGGAGAAGAAATTGTTCTTGTTTGTCCGTATTGTGATATTAAGTGCTCAGAATTTGTATATAAGCTGCATTTACCGTTTCATACATATAAATTACACAATAAAACTGGAGATACACACATTTCCGAATATAATACAGAATGTGGAATAAAACAACAGAACATAAAACTAATAACTAATATTAGAACGGATAGTGTAAAAAAAGGAAATCAATTTAAAATATTTTCAGAAGATATTAAGTATTGTTGTAAAATGTGTTTAATTTATGTAAACACTTATGATAATGTAATCAAACACTGTCAGAGCCACCTAACCTCGGATTCGACAGTTCAAGCAACTTCAGCGATTCAAGTGCCGGACACATCTCAAAAAATATTCTATTTTGAACCCAAACATTATGGATCTAACAACCAATTTTGGCTCCAACACATATTTAATGGTTTGCCAATGGCTGATATTGACAAAATTTTGTCAAATGCCATATATAAATATGAAAGTAGAATAAAATTGCAGGTCAGTAAGAATGGAATACCAGAATACACCGAATACCAATGCGAGACTTGTCACTGTTTCGTAGATTGCTTGTCACTCTTTAAACATATTAACGCTTGTACAAGAAAGATTAAGAAGTACTCGTGTAAATTTTGCGCACGACGATTCGATTCGGAGGATGCTTCTACTAAGCACCTAAAATTACATGAAAGTTCTTTGGACCCAGAGACATGCAGAATTGTTTCATTTAATAGAAAAATTGATAAAAAAATTAATGATTTAATAAAAGCAAATCCTTCTAGGCCTTATGTTGTGTATCAGTGTAGAAATTGCGAAGGTCTCATAAATAGAAGTAACTTTTCTTCCCACATATGCACTTACACTGACCTAGAAAATTGCAATGTCTGTGGATTGTTGTTGTACAAAAGTCACTTTGCGGATCATTTGAGAAAACACAAGGAATTGCAAAGCTTTACAGTAAACAATATGAAGGTAGTTTTGCTTGGGCTCAGAACACCCAGTACAAATAAAACCAAAGTATCTAGTTTTATGGGTATTGTATGTGATTATATTTTTTATAGATGTTCCAAATGCAATGTGTGCATTAAAGAATTCAGGTGTATAGCCAAGCATTTTTGCCTAATTGAGACATGTAAAGCACAGTGCCACAAATGTGACCTCTACTTCGATGAAGGCAAATTGAAAGGTCATATAAAACTTCACGCAGATGATTTAGATTTTGTTAAAGATAACATTACACTTATTGACTTTAATCCAAAAGAAAACACAAACGAGGATGATGTAGTAACGCTTCCGAAAATGTCGAATGAACAAAGTACTCTAGTGGATGGAGATGACGTTGAAATTGTTGATGATAAGGCAATTCAAACCGTTGAAGAAAAAACAGCTACTCTATATAAATGTGCAAAATGTAAATTGCATTTTCTAAATAAGAATAGCGTGGATGATCATATTAGAAAAAAGCCTGCTAGAATAACTAAACAATTTTGTACAAAATGTGGATTTTCGTTCTCGCCCAATACGTTGTTTCATCACTTACTTGAGCATCATGGACAGAGAGACGTAAAATATACTTTCCAAGTAGAAGATGTTTTTGGCACGTTCAAAAAGCAAAAAGTGTATAAATGTATTAAATGCAATTTACATTTTACCAATTTAAAAAAGGCGAACGAACATCATTCGAAATGCTCAGGCGATTCGAGTCAAGGTGAAAAATGTAAATGTTGCGGTTTAATGTTTCATTTTTCTTATTTGCTAAATCATGAAAGAAATTCAGAAAATAATTCACATACTGATTATGAAGTAGTTGAGGCCGAGGGCGAGTAACTTAGTTTAGTAATTGAACAAATATGTATTATATAACTAACGGTGGTTCCATTCGATTTTATTAAGCTTAGATATATCCCCCATGCCCTCAGAAGTTAGCACTAAGGTTTTTCTTTTCTCATGAAAATTGAATAACATAACAATGGTTTTGCAATAATATAATAAACATAATGATATATTATATTATTGCAAAACCTGCGTATAACGCGAGTTACATCGCGGTTATAGGCAATTTCTCTTTCTTCTTTCTTAAATAGATAATAATTCTTTTTGCTATCAAATATACATCTATATAAATGTGTTAAGTTATGACTGAAAGTTGTTAAGTTACTAATATTTTAAGACCCGTTTTTATATGTAAGTATCTATTAAAAAATAATACCATTTCCTTGTCTTTATATTTTGGTTCCTATTGAAAAATTGGTAAACAGAATTAATTAATTCTCAAAAAGAAATTTTTACAATGTTCTATGAAGATTTGTTTACTATCATGTAAGAAGAAAACAGCTATTAAATAATAAAATATCATAAATTTCTACATTTAATTTTTATTTTTTACACAATGGTTTCGATTTTGATTTTTGAATTAATAGGGCCGTTGTAAATAGAGAAACATGAGGAAATGAGGTCAGTGTGACCATGTACTAGCTCGAAGTTATTGTATTCTTCTTCTTAATTTGACGGCTTTCCCATTTTGTAAGTTATTGTTTTATCTAATATCCTTAAATGTCAAATTAAAGATCAATGTCAAAATTTGACAGATTCGGTGATTCTATGTCAACCCAATTGACAACTGAAATATTTACAATTTGGGTTTGGTTAGACACAGACGACTATGAAATGTTTTTTTTAATAACACGTCTTTCGGCACAACCAATAGTATAATATGTATTTAAATCCAATTTTACAGCAAAATTATAATAATGCTATAATCAACTGAAGTGTGAAATGTTCAAGTGGCTAAAGAGATATCGGAAGGAAGACTCTTGAAAAGCGGGACCCGGTTTTGACTATTAATTTTCAAAGAATTCTGAAATAATGAATATTAATTCGTGTTGAAGATAAAAACAATACTGATTCTAGCTTTTTATTTACATTGTAACGTAAAATGTAGACAAATCTTTAATCCTTTTGTACTCATCCTGTCGGTTTAAGTATTATATATTTACAATGCATTTTCATGATAGATTTTTCCAATGGTTAGGACATCTTAAACTATCCAGAGTAATAATAATGGTGTCTGTAATATTATTTTCGGTTCCTCTTGTAACTCACTATTATTTATCCAAGGTAAGAGCTCAACAGTTTTATACATTCCTTTAAAGAAAGTTGCTAGTGATATCTAATTCATGAATTTTTTTAGTATGAATCTTCATCATCATTGGGTTTAAATGCAATGCAAAATACTTTAGACGCATTAGTTGATATTTCGACAGTCAATGCAGAGGATCTGAAAATAAGGATTAAGGAAATGCTTCGAATAAAGGTATGATTATTTAGATGTTGTAAACCAATTCTATTTAAATTTAGGTACACAGACATAATAGATAGTGAGTCAGAACAGAGAGTCAGTCCTCATTTTTAGTGATGCAAATAGTTAAACTCTGTTTGGCTTATGATGGTGAAGCAGTTGACATTAATTGACGGATCACACGCTTCTGTGCCTGATCAATACATTGCAATTTTGAAAACTTTTTTTTTACATGTAATTGTATACATTAAGGCACTATATAATTTAAAAATCAAAAATAAACTGAATTTAGACTCGTGCAGGACTTGAACCAGCATCGTCAGCGTTCCGTGCTGTTGCTCTACCAATTGAGCTACAGAGTCCTACACCTCATCGTCAATTTTTTTCAATTTATTGTTAAATGCACCTCTCGCGCAATGTAATTTCAACCTTAACACTTTCCTATTAAGGTTAAACGTCTTATGCTTTGCAGATTAAGAAATCATTGAAGATCAAATTACAAAGTTATAACGTTTGAAATTTTTTTTTCAATTACATTGTATTTTAATTATTTACTTGTACTTATCCCATGTTAACACTTAGATTATTGTAATAATTATATAGCAATACACATGTCTTCAGTGTAACATATTTTATACTTTCCCTGCTTGTTCGTGATTTGACTTGTAAATGTGATACAATATCACAAGATTTTAATATTTTGTTTCATGCAATTTAACACTTCTACTTAGTAATGCTTTGCTTATAAGAATTTTTCCTCAGGCGTCTGTTTCCACGGAATTGCGAGAGTTGGAAGAGAGACGAGGTCGCTTACAAAAGGAAGCAGCTGCAGCCAGTGCTAAGGCAGAGAGTGTAAAGGCAGAATATACTCGTGCCACGGCTGAGCTGCAGCGACTCCGGGTATCTGCTGACCAAGCACGTCTCGCGCAACTCGAAGCCATCCGTCGAGACTCACCTGAACTGGCGCCTCCGAATCAGATTCTACCTTCGCGTCCACCTCCTATTATACCATCTTTACACCCCTCCTCTGAAGTCCATTGTCGTATGCACTCATGCTTTGACCATTCCCGCTGTTCCCTAACTTCAGGTTTTCCTATATACTTTTATGACCCCGATATTTACTCTCCTCTGGCCAGTGCTGAAATAGATGGGTTTTTGAAGACGACTTTGCGACAAACTTTGAGTTATAACGCACATTTGACACGAAACCCTAATGAAGCCTGTCTTTATCTGGTGTTGATTGGAGAAGCTTTTCCTTCAAATAAAAATCCATCGTGAGTATGCATTTTTACTATCAAAGTAATATCAAAAGTGGGGTAAGGCCTCATCTATATGATTACACTCTAGGCAAAATATAGGTTTTCAGATGATTTAATTCTCTTTAGTAAGATTAACATAACATAAATAGGTACAATAAAGTTCGTACTTGAATATTAATTCCTAGAGTAATTATCCTGTATATATAAAAATAAATGAACAATGCAGTTTTGCAATACGCGTATCATTTATTTCGTATTTATACTGTTTTTTAGGTCAACAACCGAACCTTACAGATTACTCCTAAATGAAACAGCAATCAAACAGCTACCATTTTGGGGTGGTGACGGCAGAAATCATGTGTTGTTGAACCTAGCAAGACGAGAGCTCTCTGTCGGGTCAGGAGATGCTTTCCTGGGGACGTCTACTGGCAGGGCAATGATAGCTCAGTCGACTTTTAAATTGCAACAGTTTCGACCGGGATTCGACGTTATTACGCCACCTGCTCTAGGCCCCCCGGGTGGTGACGTTTGGGCAGAATGCGCTCCTATGGCTCCAGCGAGACGAAAATATTTAATGAGGTACTATTTTTGAGGGTATTAATCGTAAACTCACCTTTTGTTACTCGAACTTACGATGGGTTTATATATCAATCGCCTCCAAATATCAATAGTTAGGGTTGTATAGTTATATGTTTAGCTATGGGATTATCAACCCGTGAAAACGTAACGAAAGTTTTACTTAGTTTTCAGGGGTCAAAATCGCCCGCCACCGATCCGAACAGAGACAACGACAAACAGTTAATAGAGGCACTTCAGAAGACTGCGAAGGACTCTCCCACGTCCGACGTCTTCTTCTTACAATTCGAATGCGACCCGTCCGTGGAGCGAAGAGCTCTACTACCCATCGGAGACTGGGCGTTGTGTGGAACGGACAGGTCAAGACGTTCCGTCCTCCGCGACTCTACGTTCGTTTTAATATTAGCTCCAGCCGACCATACTTACGCTTCCACGGCTCTTTTACAAGCGAGGCTGTACGAAGCGTTGCGATCTGGTGCAATACCAGTCATACTCGGCGGTGACAGGACACGCTTGCCCTATGACGAGGTGCTTGACTGGCGGCGAGCCACTCTCTCGTTACCCAAAGCCCGAGTCACCGAACTACATTTCTTGCTGCGGGCACTATCTGATGCGGATCTCCTGACCTTCAGGAGACAGGGTCGTTTACTTTGGGAGAGGTATATGAGTTCGTTACAAGCGAGTGTCGATACGTTGATAGCTGTTATCCGTACGCGTTTGAATATCCCCGGACGTCCAGTGGCACCGATAATGGGGACACCCGCGTTCAACGAATCCTATTATCCAACTAAGGTGGAACCTCCGGCTGTCGATTCGGAGCCAGAAGAGACGTTGGGGCCTCTCGAAGCGCCCTACCCGAGTCCAGCGTATCGACGGAACTACTCGATGATATTGTTGCAAGGTTACGAGATGTGGAACGAGTGGGGGGAGCCGTTCACCATATACCCGCAATTGCCTTGGGATCCCCCGGTGACGTCAGAGGCTAGGTTTATGGGTTCCGCGGCAGGGTTCCGGCCGATCGGCGCCGGTGCTGGCGGGTCGGGTAAGGAGTTCAGCGAGGCGTTGGGAGGGGATCGGCCGAGGGAACAATTCACCATTGTTATACTGACATATGAGCGAGAAGCTGTTCTAGCTGCGGCTCTTGCGCGATTGCGAGGGTTGCCCTACTTGAACAAGGTAATTTACGTTCTTTCTAAATATATAATAAATAAAAAATGTAATGTTATTTACATGTTCAAGTGTGAATCTAAAAGATTTTGACTAATGGCATATCTAAAACTTTGAATCTTTATTATAAAAAACGACAGTAAATAAATAAATAAGTAAATAGACATTTTGAAAATTGAGGTAGTAAGGATTCAGCCGTTTAATTGGGTTAGTTTCAATTGAATTTAATATCAATTTGATAATATTTGTAATATATTTTCATTAAATCTCTATCAGTTGACAGCATATTATTCTTGTTAATAAATTTGTATTATGTTCCGTGGCTTATCCTCTCACAGTCACGATATATTGTAGATCTAAAAATGTTTAAATAGTTTTATTTATCGAACAATACTATATCTTACTTCTCACGTCGAAGGTGGTGGTCGTTTGGAACGGAGTCACAGGTCCGTCTTCCAGCACCTCGTGGCCGGAGTCAGGTGCGCCGGTAGCAGTAGTTCGGACCCAACGCAACTCCCTCAATAACCGCTTCCTGCCTTATCACCTCATTGAGACTGAGGCTGTGCTCTGTGTGGACGACGATGCCCATCTTAGACACGATGAGATCGTTTTCGCCTTTAGGTAATATGCGGCTATATGACACGACTTTTAGCTAGTTGCAAGGTATAGCTTAATAATCAACGAGTGCTGGTTTTAATAGGCTAACATAGTAAAACAGTCACATATGTTAAAAATATAAATCGATTTAAATAAAAACCGCAATAAAAAATTAACTTTTTCAAACATTTGTAACAAAAAAGTTTTGATTGGTCGGGTTTATAATGACGCCACTTGCTTATAAACAGTGCTATTAACCACCGTGCTTTCTAGTGTTAAAACTTGTCTATTCTCTGCTAAATAAATAAATTTCTAACTCATTTTTGACCTAGATTGTAGATCGTATGGTTGACATACGCCAATGGCCAATATAACGTAGTGACGTCACCAGCCGTCTTGTGTTACATATTAATTATCATACACACTTAAATCCACTGCAGTATCCAAAAGTTTTTGACACATCCAAAGAAGTATAGATATTATTGATGTATATGATTGTTTTTTAATGATTTGGTTTATAGTGTTAAGGACGACGGGTCCTTATCTTACCTTACGGGACCTGGTCTACTTAACAAATCATACGTACCATAAGTTACGTATTGTTAGTTTATTATGTCTAGTGCTGCTCTTATCAAGAAAGAAAATGGGTTGCAATTATGTATCTAACAAACAATTTAAAATTTTCCGCGACTAATGCCGTATTTGTCGCTGCTGAAATATATGACATTGAAAATTCTCAGAGTGTGGCGCGAACATCGCGACAGGATCGTCGGCTTTCCCGGAAGATATCACGCCTGGGACTTGAACTTCAATAATGGTTTTCTCTACAATTCCAACTACAGGTGAGCGTTAACCAATACTAATATATTGTATATATTAGGAATTCTTATATTGAAAAAAAAAAATACGACTCGGGGAACCCTTAAAACGGCATCTAATTAATTGAGCTACCGAGTTCTACACCTCTCGCGTAATGTAATTTCAACCATAACAGTTGCGTATTCTTGCATATTATAGTTATCTCGATTTCGAATGTCCAAAGTCATTTGCACTTTCATCAAGTGAGGTTAATTTTGTCTGCTGTTCTCCTTTGTCTGGGATTTTTGTTAATTGAATAGGTGTTAGTTCCTATTAAATAAAAGACTTTAACGGTTTAAAACGCGATGCATATTGGTTAAACGTCTGAAAATTATGATAACTACGGCGCGACGTTTCGGATGCTTTTCAGCTGTGGTCACATGAAGACAAGCTTAAAGTTTAACTGTATATATATATCGCGTTTTAGCCGTTAAAGTTGTATTCAAATGTCTATCACTCGCGTAAATTACAGACAGTATTTATGTTCCTATTTTTTTCAGCTGCGAGTTAAGTATGGTGTTGACTGGGGCAGCATTCGTCCATCGGTATTACCTTTGGGCGTATTGGAGGCTGTTGCCCGCTGCTGTTCGAGATTACGTGGACGAATATATGAACTGCGAAGACATCGCTATGAACTTTCTGGTCTCGCACATCACCAGGAAACCTCCAGTAAAGGTAGTGTCACCTAGAAAAGAAGGATCACAGAATATTCTGATTCTGTCTGAAGGCACTACATAGTTTTTAATTATTATGCACGTTTAACTGTAAGAAACACGTAATGGATTAGTTAACTTATTCTGACTTAACCAGTTTTGTATGGACCCAGCTAGTTTATCCAACTAGAAAACAGATGGCGCTAGCGTAGCAGGTTTTTGACTTTAACATTAGAGACACGCCCCATGTTCCTCATTGACGACAGCCCCTCATGACTAACGTTTCGGATTAAAATAATTTTAAGTTAAATTATATATTTCGCGATCTAAACCGTTAAGGATTTTATTTAAAAAGGTTATTTACTCTTTATACAGAACGTATAGGTATTTTACTGTTTTTAAATTCCAGGTGACGTCACGATGGACCTTTCGTTGTCCTGGGTGTCCGGTGACTCTGTCAGCCGATGAAACTCATTTCCACGAGAGGCATAAGTGCATTCAGTTCTTCTCGCAGGTAATGTTCTCACAACCACCCCGTGGCTTAACGCTTAAACGAATAACCTGTGTTCGAAGCCCGGGATAACATAAGTACTGATTTAAATTGTATTTAGAAACGTAAAACTAATTTTAAAAAGCTTAAGGGAAAACATAATATTTTAAGTAGTCAAACTGTATCCGGAAACGTAGAAAAAATTAAAAAATAATGATATATTAGTAAACACACTAAATTACTTAACTCAATGTTAAAAATAATCAATTGACATTGAAAAAAAAGGAAAATGTGTCTACTTAAGCATGCATGGCGTAGACACATTTCTGCGTCTGTTTCACTGATTGAAACTTTGTTTTTTCTGGAATAAAACATCGCAAAAAAACATTTCCGATTACCTAAAAGACTGTACTTACGACAAGGGGCAGTAATAGATTGCATATTGTAATTCATATCTAATGTCAATAGTTTACGCAAGTAGTGGACATTGGGGAGTGGTCACAGGGAGACCACGCCTGCTACAAAGCATCCGAAACGTCAGGCCGTAGTTAAAATTGTTTCCAAATGAGTTAAACTAATATATTCCGCTTTTTAAGGTGAGAGTTTATTTAAAAATACTCAACGAATTATCTTTTTTTCGTAGGTCATGGGCTACACACCATTACTCTCTACCCAGTATCGGGCGGATTCGGTCCTGTTCAAGACGCGTATACCTCACGACAAACAAAAGTGCTTTAAGTTCATATAGAGTGCATTAGGAATTAATATCGCTATCGAACAATTCATTACAAACGGGAAGAAAGACGAAATTTCAATCTGCAGCTATTTTGCCGTAGCTGAGACTTGAGAGGATTTGAAAGAAAATTTCGTAAAAAATCATGTATTTGATACTACAAGAGGTAACTATCTCATAATTGTGTAATATTTAAAGAGTCATTGATTAATTTAATTTTAAGGGGGCATTCGTGTGTTAATTATGCATAATGTGGGGGGGGGGGGGGGAAATCGCGACTGGTCCCTTAGGTAGCTAACTGTAATTGATATAAAGACAAACTCAATTTAAAAGACAGCGTGAGCGTGAGCATTTTCTATTACTTATTTACTTAGTTATGTTGGTATTAAAGCGGTAAGTAGACAAATTACGACCGTTGACCTTCTTCAAAGCCTGGGTCGGTCAAAATAAATGGTCCTTCTTTTTGGAGGTTCAAAGTAAGTGGTACCAATCCTCGTGCCCTCAAGACATCAAGTCGTCAGTCCTAATTATTATTACTGGCATGTTGGGTCTTCGAATCCCCCCTCCTATGCTCAGCAGTGGGATATCATTTGTATCTTTAATTACGGCTTAGTGATTCCAAGTTATAGAAAATAATTATTTTTATATTTATATTAATGACCAATTCAAATGTTTTTACTAGTTTCTTATACTTAAGTTTGAAAAGTTGTAATCGCTAGTCTCTTTACTTTTGTAAGATTTTTTTATAATTTTGATATTGCTTTATTAACTGTTGTAAATATGTACATTGTAGTTGAACAAGTAAAATGAAATTATGGTAGGATTTCACATACCTATTAATATTGTTTGTATGATATTAAATCATTTTTTTTTATATTAGTACGAAGTTTTCGACTCAAGACTGACTGTCCCAACTAGTTTACTGTTTAAATACTGTTCAATAAGTAGGTAAACAATATGTTTATGAATTATTATTTACATTTTATGAAATAAGTAATAAAACATATTATCACACTATATGATTTTTTTTATATTTGGAGGGGGTGATATATTATATTCCGGGTCCCTATGTTTGGCAATGAAAACATGATATTGTCTTATGGAGGCTGTAAGACTCAAAAATTGATTTAATTGTTAGAGATTATTTTTTCATAGCCATAATCATCTACAATGACAATTGTAGATAAATATGGCTTATTGTTATGAGAGGTATTAAAAGAGAATAAACTTTATTAAGATTAAACAAATCGATGACACGGGATTATTATGTCATGTAAAAGATTATGGTGTTTTCAAATCAAAAATTTGATCTTCCATTATTTCTTAAGCTGCAATCATAAGATAGTGAACTTAAATTTTAAGTGATAAGGTTGAAATTACATTGTGCGTGAGGTGCATATACATGCAAGTCACACCATTGTTGATGACTTGTGAGATACGGTAGCTCATTTGGTCAGAGCAGCAGTACGGGACGCTGTGTCAAGTCCAGTCCATGTCATAATTTTTTATTGTCAGACTCAATGAGATGTTGAATAATGGTAGTGAATAAAACGACGTAATTTTAAAATAATGTGTAATAGAGAATGAACACAGATTACAAATTGTACAAATATGATAACTTCAAAATAGCAAACAAGTACAAAGCTAATTTAAATAAGATCTTACAAATAACTAATCTCAAACACGCACCGCACAAACACCTTGCTTCTTAAGATAGTAAAAAACCTTAACATTTATAAAATGGAAGATGGTTTTCTTATAGAGTGCACGAGAGACATCTAAATGCCTCTATCTACTATATAGTGGAGAAAATCATTAAGAAAATATTGAATAGATTACTTTGTTCGATTGAATTGTTTGGGATACACTTTCGTTACAAAAATATACTATGCCTAAATACGTCGGTGGCAGTAATAGATCGAATGGAACACGCACTTCGAGAGGGGAGGCTGGGGTCTGTTATAAGTGTTTAGGGGGAAATTGGACAAGAGGCGGTGATAAAAAGGAGATTTCTACCGCATCAACATCTTGAGGATCGCTGCGGGCTTTTCATTTATTTCAAAATGAAAATTGCGGATGTACTGAGCAAGTAAGTAATTCTTAGCTGTATACAGCTTAGAGCGTTTATAGGAGACCACAACCTAAGCTATATACATGTTTTTTTTTGTTTTACAGTCTGCGTTTATATTTAATATTTGTTCGTAAGTATCTTGTTTCGCTTGGTACGGAGATGCCGGTCGCGTCCTGCTGGAGTTGTGCGCGTCTTCACGCCAGGTCTTCGCCTTTGCCGTCCAATCTTTTCAACTGAAAAAGATTGTATATTAGTATTCTATTGGTTCTATACGATATGGTGACTCTGCTAGACCGTGTCATCATAAACGTCACGCGTTTATTATATTTCGGGCGCACAGAAGTTTGATCACCTACTTCTTTGAAGATACAGTCGATTGACGATATGGACTTAAATTTGTCCCACGCCTCTTAAAAGGGAGTCGGAGTTTTTAACTCTTTACATAAAAACATAGTAAGAAACCGATTTATGTTTGGATTTTTTAAAGAGTTAAAAGGAAAATAAAGCGGTGTCCAGAAATGTAGTGTTTCAATGTTCATAGCTTACAGTTTGCTCAACAGTCCATGCTGTGGCAGCCAGACGTCCAGTACGCTTGTAATAATGCATATTATGAAAGGGCCTGTTTCATTTTTTTATTTGAACGGACAAGCATCGGGTTTACTTATTCGAATGTGAAATATTCCAGCAACATAACATCTTGACAAGTTGCGCTGTCGACCTATATAGGCTTTCGATATCCAATATTATGACATTTCAAATTATCGTTCGGGCAAATTTATTGTATTGTATTTAAGATCCATTGTGATGGCTACTTATAAAATTACAAACACTTAGCAAGGTTCAAGATTTACGTCTTCAAAGGACTTAGTTTAGATGGTATACCTCCTTCTCGTCACCAGCCACTGGCCTATATCTGGGTGGAGTGTTGTCTACGGGTGGTGCGGAGAAGCCGTGTACGTAGAGCAGAGCAGCAGCGACTCCACCGGCAACTGGACCTGCCCAGTAGACCTGAAGACAGAAGCATGTCCATAGGCTGTAGCACGTAAATAAAAAGCACATCACGAAGTTACTTACGAAGTCCGTACTATTCTCAATTTGGATTTTGAATAATGACTTTGGTGGGATTTGAATCCACGATGATTTGAAAGGACATTCTCAATTCTTTTTTAACACCACGGGATGTTGTAGTCGGAGGTAGGGTTCAAAAAATAAATTATTTTTGCTCCAAACTAAAAATGGCACTAAATAAATTCTAGAAAAAAAATCTGCACCTCAACCAAACTAATATGTATGACGTAGTATTAAATAATTGGTTTTATTTCTCTTTTATATTAGTTAGGATATAAACAAGGAAATATAAAATATAACGCAAATATTACACTGATACATTTATATATTATAATTGACATTATGATAATAACTTAAATGCCTTAAAATGGTGTAAATGCCTCGATATTATAAATTGTAGCTCTAGACTCTAGAATATAGATGATCTCACAAACACCAATTACATCGTTATGACTTAGGTCTCTTTATTAAACATTGTATTCACATCACTAAATAGAATGTTAAAATAACGTAAAGCGAAGTACCCCATTCAAAAAAAATTTTCAAATTCGGAAATTCACCGATTGAAATAGAAGCAATTGAACTTCCCGACTTTTCCGTCTGTGGACGGTGGTTCGAAACCCGGAATTTCAATATTCCTATTCAATATGTCCATGTCCAGACGGAGTCCAACATGTTTCGAGAAATTGACGAGAGACATGTCGGACCTGGTGGGAATCGATCCCACTAGGTACCTCTTGATACATTACTACCGTTAGACCTCCGAACCGTCCGTTCTTTACTTCAAGGCCTTGCCTCTGTAAGCTACGATAGTGTTCCTATAAAACTACCGTCAATTTAATGTCCAAGATTTCCGAACTGCTCTTATAATATATCTACTAGAATGGAACTTTACATTGGACATTGGAGCAAGTCAATTCCACCTAAATACATAAAAGGCATATTAGACCTTTTGTAAATGCCAAATCTACAAGCATTGTATGTTAATGCACAGGTAACGGACTAAGCTCAATATTTATGTAAATTATAGTAAATTGATTCGTAAGTATCATTTATGTACATAAATTTATAGACAAGTTATAAATACAGTTCAAGCTTCGGAATCCGACGTTTATTTATAAGGTTGGGAGTTCGATCTTCGCAAGAGCATTACTAATTCATACGCGACACTTATTTCATTTCTTATACAAAACATAGTTATTAGTTTACATCAGGTAGCATAGCTTGAAATAAAATAGCTAAGAAATTTCCCGTATTAAACAGTTAAAATTTTGTTAATTATGTTTGTGCAATTTGTAAAAAATACGAAAAAATTACGACACGGACAGAACTAGAACCAATTGAGCTACCGCGTCCTAGACGTCATCGTCGAATTTTTTCAACCAATTGATACATGCACCTACCTATTTATTTTTAAATTGTTAATTATATAGTGCAATAAGCAAGATATTAAAATTTCAAGTACTTCTTTAGTCTCTTACCCAGTGATCAGCCCATTCGTTGGCGACGAGTGCGGAGCCGAAGGAACGGGCTGGGTTCATAGCTGAGCCGGTGTAGTCCACGGCTAGAAGGTGGCCCAGGGTCACAGTTAGACCGATCGCCAACGGGGCGGTAGCTTTGCTGTCTGGTTTGTTCGGGTCGCACACCTGGGCAGGGATAGATAAACTTTTATACAACGTTAAAAATTATTTTACAACCTCTGACATTGGAATGTACCTGGAAGTAGTATTATTAACATTGATTACGAAAAATAATTTTAATCAATAGAAATATTCTATTATATCCGAATAACCAAAGGCAACATAGGTCGACGGCACATCGTGTTTCGATGTTATGTGGCTGGAGTATTTTATCCACCATAAAGCGAACCCTATGCTTGTCTGTCCTTCTCTATCACAAAAACGGAATAATTATATTATTGGTTAAACGTGTTGCTTAGCGTTGCGTTAAGCTCGAGAGGTCCTCGGTTCGAATCCTGGGGAAACAAAATATAGTTTGTTTCGGTAGGACACAGTCCCGAAGTCTGATCAGTTACTTAATTAATGAAATATTAAAGTTTTCAATTTACGATCACATTGATATTAACACAAGATTAAACGTAATTATTTATTATTTAGGTAACATTAAATTAACTAAATAACAATTAATTAATTACTTATGGTTGCCATTCACTCGTAATAGGAGCGGCACAACTAATGTCAAAAATAATACGCCGCTATCTTTGTAAACACGAAAACTCATTTGACCTTGTTCAATTTGACAAAGAGGCGTGTTCACGGAATTTTTGTGCTTTTTATTATCGATTATGCTAATTCCACTTTCCGCGAGCTATAGGGGCACGCGATCAACTTTAAATCTAGATTTTGTTCGAGTCGAATGCCTCGGCGCACCTCCGCACAGTACTTTATATAATAGCCACTTAGGTTTGAGTACTTTAGAGCTATACCTATAACAGACAAAGAGCACAATATTTTTTAATGATATTTGAGTAATGATGATTTAAGTAATGTGCTGTCGTCCTTTTTGGTTTTGTAGCTCAGAAATACAGCGACTCAAAAGAAAGCGGATTTAACATGTATCGAGTTCGGGTATTCCTACCACCAGGTTAATATCCAAAATTTGATGTCGAAGTCGGTGTTTCGACAAAAAATATTTAGAAATATGTGAGGTATATTAATTTATTAAATATTGGTAGGATTCGTAAGTAACTATGTAGTTACTGCTATACAAATAAAACACATTCAACGGTATAAAACGTGAATTATATAAGTTGACTTATTTACAATTTACTTCAAAACGTCGGACGTACGATCATGCTGTAAATAAATAAACTCATACACGTCGCGTTATAACCCGTTTAAAAGTGTTTTATTCAAATGTATACTAATCGCGTAAACTGGACTATAACTACAGACAATACATAGTTGTAGTTTATTTACCATCAAGTTGACCCTTGTATGTCGTCTGTCGCAAAAAAATGATTACAGACATTAGATGGTTTTCGTCGAAGCCTAATGAATGGAGATCAATGATTACTGTCCATTAACTGCTACAAATAATTGTAGTTTTCTTAGAACGTTATCGTTCACATTGCAAAGATCTTTAAGTAATGTATTTTATAGGACAGAAGCACAACGTCTGATATTATCAATTGATAAAGATCACAATGGAAATTAAGATTGCCATAAAATAATTAAAGACTCCAAGGTTTGTTTCTTGTTAAATTTTAAATAAATGTCGTGTTTTTTTTTTCAGTTTATAATCGATTTTAAATATATTTTAATTTAGTTTCATACATTGTTAATAGGATGAGCGCGAATTATTTAAAAGATTGTAGGCAGTGTGTTATAGGCCTAATAGAACTCGTAGTTGTAATAGAAGTGTATATGAAAGTTAATGATCTAAATTAATGTTTAGAGATTAAAAATACATCTCACATCAGAAGTCGCAGCTTACGTATGTACAGAGAGATATGATATATATTTTTAACCGATTGAAAGTTAAGTAAGAGAACCTTCAAACCTTCCAATACACTGAACTAAAAAATATAACTACAATGTCTCATAGACAACTTTACCGGTTTTAAATAAAACACTTTAACGGTTTAAAACGCGATATATATTAGGTAAACCCATTTGAATTATTTTAACTACGGCCCGACGTTTCGGATGCTTTGCAGCAGCCGTGGTCACGGGAGACGGGCGTTTTAACCCGTTAAAGTGTTTTATTCAAATGTGTCCTACTCGCGTAAACTTAGAGACAGTATTTAAAATTTACCTTGTCTTAACATCAATGGTAATGACATAGAATTAAATAAACGCAAACATACAAACAAATTTAATATACGTAGATGTTATCATAATAATCCTCACGATTGGCCGTAGCCACGATTAGCTGTAATTGTCTTAGTCAGGATGTAAAATGATTTGTCTTAGTACGTGGTTCGCAATAAAAATTAGCTTCCGTGACAGGGCGACATTTTTACTACTTATTGAAATATTCATTGATGTAAATGTATAGATAGATTTTTTTGATAGAGGACAGACAAACGTGGGGTTCCCTTGAAGTTAGGTATGCCCCAGGTCTATAACATCTCCAGAAAATACGCTGTCGACCGGTGGTGCGTGATCCGTGTGGAATGTTGATATTTCTTCCATACATTAAATGTCCAGATTTCCAGATAAAGTCCAACATGTTTCAGAAACGAATAAGCAAAGCGGCTCTTACGGACTCTTGTTATATCGACCAGATATATATGGGATCCCCCCCCCCCTTCCCCCTCCTTGGGACTTTTAGTGTACAGAGGCGCCGACGCACATACAACAATTATATTAAATCTTTCAACCTTTTCCCCCTCTCTTATAAGACTAGGCCCACTAGGTTGCTCTAGTGGGTTAGCGAATATCAACCGTCTTCAAATTAGTAATAACCTCCGGAGCTGTGTAACGTGCTCTTCTAAGCAAGGGAATGACGTCACCACCAACATACAAAGAACCTATTAGAAATATGTATTACTCTATCTAGATATGAGTATGAGACTATTTAAAGTCTTTACACTTACCCCACAAACAACGAAAATAAGGACGAAACCAAGGAAGAACTCAATGCCAAATCCTTGGACTGACGTCACTTCAGTGCCAAGTCCGGTGACGCCGAGTTTACCAGCAGCTCTCTCCGGGGTGAAGGCTTTCAATAAACCAGAACCGGCCGCTGCGCCGGCGCATTGAGCGATGACGTATAAGATCGCACGGGCTAACTTAATGCGGCCAGTAGCCAACATGCCCGCTGTTACTGCTGGGTTAATGTGTCCACCAGATATGTGGCCTATGGCCTGTAAAATGTTTTAATAATACTTTATTTAAAAATTGCACACAAAAATTACTCATTGAACTAGAGCAATTTAATAATTTCTTAGCATGGCATAAACTTATGTAGTGTAATAAGGGTATTATCAATTATTATTTTAAATCTCCATCTTAGAGGTTGTCTGGAAGAAATCGCTTTTAGCGATAAGGCAACCGATTCTCGCTATTTTTTTTAAATTTCTTCAAATTAAATCTTACTTTGTGATCCTTGTGGTGACAATAAAGTATTTTTTATTTAATTTTTAATAACTATACTTAATACTTAAACAAATTAAATTAATATAAGTCTTTAAAATTTAACAATGGCAACTCCCACAACAAGAGCCACTCAGTATAACGTTACGTTACAGTGATTTTGAGTGAAAAAAAGACACGAGCGGATATCTAACTTAAAACAGCGTATACTAACAGAGACAGCAGCAAAAACTGCCAAGCCAAATCCAAACGCGATGAGAACGATATTTGGTGCTGCGTCAACGCCCGCTGTAACGTTAATACAAGCACCGCACCCGAAGAGGTTTAAAAGGAGATTTCCTGAAAGTACAGAGATACATAATTATTTTCACAGTCCAATAATTTTAGGCATTTAATCTAATAGACAGAATGACTCTAAGTAAGTTTATTTTTAGGATACACTTTTATTACGGTGTTAAACAAAGATATGGATATCAAAATCATTTTTTTTTAATATCGGACGATTATTTCAGGAATATAATTTATATCGGGGTTATTGTGTACTTTACAAATTGATTGTCGTGTCTACAAAAACTTAGTACATCATAACAGTTCTCTCAAAGACTAAAGTTGACATTTTGTAACAAATATGTTCTTAACTGAATGTGTAAAAAACATCGTAATGCTTTTTCAACTTTAAGTTTGTTTGTTTACAGGTAAGTATTAATTAGTATAATTAAAAGTTAAAAATTAAATATGTTTAACTATGAAATAAAATGTTGATTATAGCATACAGATTTTCTGAAACATATTGGACTTCGTCTAGAAATCTGGATGTTAAATGGATGGTAGAAATATCGAAATTCCGTCTGGGTCACGAAGCACCGTCCACAGATGAAAGAGCCGCGAAGTTTAATCAGTCTTTCGATTTCAGTCTGTGGATTTCGGAATATCTAAACCCAAAGTAAATCGACAGCGCATCTTGATGAATGCTATAGGATAGGGTATTGGACCTACCATTAAGGGGGGTGTGGGGTGGGGGGTTGGGGTATTTCTTCTACCCCCAATCTTGCCTGTCGTCCTCTAGCATTAAAAAAATAGCAACGCAATTGTTTATTTTAAATACTCACTTTCCTGCAAAGAATTATCATTTATAAATTTTTATGATTACTGATCAAACTTTTAATTACCAATAAACTCGGCGAGTACCGCTTTGCTGATTCCCACAGCACCTCCGGCCAGTTCATCCAATCCCAATTTGTGTCCGAGCTCACCCATTGTCCTGGAATAATATTAAACTTTAGTTGCGCGAACAAACATACAGACATAGGAAAAATAAAACTAGAGAGATAATAACAGAATCTGTGATATCCTGGGGTATAAAACATTCAATTTTAAATTCAATTTACCAATATATTACGCATTTTAAACCGTTGTGTTTTATTTCGATGACTATTCGCGTAAACTACAGACAATAAGAATACTACTAGAAAATAGTCTTTAACGGCTTCAATCAACGGGTCGCGGGTTCGATTTTAAACCGGTTGAACGTGTATCTAATCAATTTATAATATATCTAAAAGATGATGGACTTCCTCTGGGAATCTGGATATTAAATTGGTGGTGGCACCGTCCACAGTGAAAAAAGCGTGAAGTTAAATCGCGTTTCGCTCTCAGTCTGTGGATTTCCGGAGATTCAAAGTGAAAGAACGTCGCGAGCGCATTTTATTGAGATGTTATATTGCTGGTGTATTGTGCCCTTCCACTAATTGATCTCCATGATTATCTTCTAGCATAAAAAAGCTGAGTCAGATTTTTGCTAAAATTATTTATAAGGTTTTGAAAAAAGAAGGAGCCAGTACCATTGAGCTCCTAAATGCTGCCCTAAATAAAAGAAAATATTTACAAGATAAACGGCCTCCGTTCAGCAGGCAATTGTTTGCATAATAAAAACAAAACGGTTACAATAAAAGTGGTTCACCGCAAAACATTGATTTACAATTGTAGGTATAACCCTCACAGCAAATACGCATGTATTTTTAGGGTTCCGTAACCGAAGGGTAAAAAACGCCAAAACTCGAGAGTGAATATTAAAAAACAATGTGTATTTTCTAATAACATTACTCAAAACATTGTTTGACATCAATGTATGAACAGGTAATAATTGAATTTACAAAAAAAAAAATTACAGTGTGATGTTTGTGTATGTGTATTTAGTTGTAATGTGTATTCAGAACATGTATTTCTGTTTGACAACTTTTATATTTTCACATGTTATTGCATAGGATGGCATTATATAAATTAGAAATTGATAAATTGAAAAAATTATACGACTCGGACAGGACGGGCTATGTATTTCTGTGTTTTAATATTATTTTAAGGTCTATATCATGTTACTTAAATTAAATAAACAGAAAGAAATCAATGAAATATAGTAATATGTCTGAGTCAATTTAAATTATATAATTTTTGGTTTGACTAAAATGTTATTAGCAATATCAATTATGTAAGACGTAAAATAAATCGATCACACGACCTAGATCTTGTTTGTATCCATATTTGTGTATGGACACCGAAGGCTTATCGTATATGCACTTTGAATTAACGGAGTTCGCCGTGACCGAAAGACATTATCCTTTTACCACCTACAAAAATCTACCTTCATACCGACTTTATAAAATGCAATTGTAATTCGCGTAAATTATAATGAAATTGCTCTCTGAGGATACGAAAACATTTAAATTCGCAGAAACGCATAACCAGGTCACGAACGCTGAGAATAACTGGGGACAATTATATTTCCTTTGATAAAAATAATCTTTTGCATGCGTGAGTTTGTTTAAGAATACGAATGTTTAAATAAAACACTTTAACGGTTTAAAATATGATTAATATATATTATTAGTTAAACTTACTTTAACTACTACCGGCTTCAAAGCTAATATACATCGCGTTTTAAACCGTTAAAGTGTTTTATTTTAATAGGTACTACTCGCGGAAACTACAGACAGTATTTAATTACATATGTTATTTTATTTAGTCCTAGATTTTGCTTTTTTAATATGTATGTATGCTAAACAAACTTTTGATCTAAGAAACTGGGTGGGTATAGAGCGAGTGAGAGAAGAGAAAAATAATTCAGATTCCAGAATAGAAAACATATTTATGTAGATGTATACGTTTTGCTCTTTAACTCTTAGTTCTGAGATAGCTTCTTACCAACTTTTATCTAAATGGGTCTAGCCGTTCTTGTGGTATAAATAGTGGAACTAACGCGACTTTTATACTAGCTGTGTCAGCGACACCCCGTACGCGTAGAATAGTTAGTTATCTTGGACATCAAATTTGTTTTTGCAAACCTCTGCTTCATCTTTATAAAAATTAATCTATTACCCACGATGTCGATCGCGTCCCGTTGTTCTTGCAAGTTCGTTTACACAGGGGACATTTTAGATTCTTTAAAGAATGTATAAAGGAATTATTCTTTTATACATATTCTTTTGGTACCTTGAAATGTTTTCGCAGCGTACGCATCGGAAACCCATAAAGATGAGTGATTTCCGCTATTTTTTCCACATTTCCCGGTGTTCCTTAGCTCCTATTAGTCACACGCGCGATGTTTTATAGCCTACTAGCTGTGCCCGCGACTTCGTCCGGGTGGAATAGAGACTTTGGATAGAATTTTGAATTATTAAGACTGTTTATTTATTTATATAAGGGCGCATTCAAGGCAGCTAATCTGTGTGGTAAGTGCTACTTTGCCGCAACACTCCTACTCTCACCTCACATCAGTCTTACTCTAACTCTCACTCCCACCTTTTTTGGCATTAAAAAGTATGTGCTATGTCCTTGCGCAGGCTTTAGAATATCTGTGTAGCAAATTTCATTTAAATCGGTTCAGTAGTTTCGGCGTTAAAGCCAGACAGACAGACAGAGTTACTTTCGCATTTATAATATTAGTATAGATAGCATTCCTCAAAAAATGCTCTAGCCAACACAAAATAATTTTTCAATTTGAATCTGTAGTTCCCGAGTATACATTATTATAGATATATGCTCTTTAAGATTTAATCTTTCGCTAAAATTTTCGCTTCATAAAAGGATGTTCTTGTATGTTTGATTATATGTATATCTAAACAGTTAGCAATAGACGACATTTTTTCTAAATTAAGATAATTTTGTTAGCATGAATTATCATAATGTTGGTGTCCTTGTGGTGGAAGTCCCGCCTGCACTAATAACTTATATACATAGAGGAAGACGGAAAAATCTCAGCAGGTGGTTCAATTAGTATTGTCTGTGGTTAGGTGAGTAGAATACGTTAAATAAAACACTTATGTCGGTTTAAAATGTAAAACTGTAAAAAGGGTCGTTTAATAATTGTTCAGTGTCAATATATTTTATTAAATCAATATATATTTTTAATGACAGACGAGACAGACAAGGACAAAACACTCCATAAAAATTGAAATACCTCAGCTATGTAACTCATTATTTAGATTTTGGACCAGATACCCAAATGTCACCCTAAAATATAGTAATGAAAGGGCAAAAACAATCAATATTAGTTATTATTGTATAACATTTAAGTCAAGCTATGGTTTATGTGAAAATGACTTTAGGCTTTTTTATTAAAAAAATAATTAAAATATAGTAGTTAATATGGAATATAATGTATAAAAAGGAAACTATAATTACCTATATATAGGTATACTTGTAATACAGTCAAAGGTTTCGGAAACTCTCCAAAAATGTAGAGTCATTAAGTATCAAGGTTCGGGTGAAAATAATTTTATAAACGCTAAGCAATCATTAGTCACATTTTCCAATAATGATCATTAATGAATATTTTATGTACTTTTTGGTATCACGAGAGACATTACTAAGTTCAAGGTACGGAATAGTAACTTATACAGGGTGTTCGACTACTTGCTTCACACAGAAAGTACTTGAAAGAAGTAATTTAATAAAACAATTAAAAAAACTACATAATATTTCAGTGCTTTAAGAAAATAAAAAGCCATATATTTAAATAAAACACTTTAACGGTTTAAAACGCGATATATCAGTTAAATACTATATCTACTCTAAACTAATATATCGCGTTTTAAACCGTTAAAGTGTTTTATTTAAATGTGTACTGCTCGCGTAAACTATAGACAGTATTTAGGAGCCATATATAGTTTGTCGTGGCGCCCTAACTGCTTGAATACATATGGTATTATGAGTATAAGAAAGACCAAACGATAGCATTTCGACCAATTAAACAAACACTCAAAAGTCACAGATACTGCGTGCTAGTGGAAATTAAAAAATTAATGTTTTTTATTCATTAAAATTTTCCATGTCGATAAAAATACGCATGATATTTGTCCTCGTATGACATCCTGTATACTTCGTCCTGACAAATCAATGACAAGGATTTTCCATATATTCATTTCAGATACACTCAAGGGCGAATAAGTTTTGAATTTATTGTTTAGGCAGTCTATAATGCATATCAACGCGTTGACAAAAATATTTCAAATTAGTATTCAAATAACAGCCCCTGTGGTGCTATGTTGATATTAAAGATTATATAGATAAAAATCTAACGCATAAATTTATGACTCGACTACATACTCGTTTCTACGATGTATTTATATACAAGCATAATAATTATAAATAATAATAATTACCTAATTGTTATATATAAATATATATAAGAGAACTAGTAGGTTATAGCCATTATGTTTTTCTAGGAAAGAGATCCTAATGGAGGCTTAGGTCTTATTACCAAACTAAATGGCATTAATTTCGACCGCCTTTCGTTAACATAAAACTATTCTTGGGGGTTAATCTTAAGAGATAGACATATATCGCCGTAGACAATTTTTTGATAGAACCAATCGACGTGTCACGCAAACGATAGATCATTTCGTATATTTTTAACTAGTGTCAGCGAGTTTGTCCGCGAAGAATAGTTATTTTGGGCATCCAAATTTGTTTGTTTGTTTTATAACTTATATATACGAATTTTAAATTGTTTACTCTATGCACCTCACGCAGACTGCACGGCGCATAGGCATGACGAAAATATATTGTAACAGTTGTTTGAGGGTCTGCGATTGCCAAGGCAAGGTGGATACTCTCTTGATTAAAATATTAAACAGTTAAGTCGGGGTTTTCCTTTTTCTTCGCGTACATATTTGAGTTGGAATTCATTTAATCAATCGTTATAATATAATGTATAAAATAATCTTTCTGTCTCTATCTATACTAATTATACAGCGGAAAAGTTAG